TCTATGGATAACAAAAAAAAAAGTTTGGTATTCCAATGTCATCTGATTGCTCAGTCATTCCCAAAGCAATATATCTTGCTTCTAAACTGTTCTAGGTACACTGTGAAGAATTTGTTCCTCAATTTGAAAAACAATATCCTGAACATCTGTGGACAACAGTACAGGTAAGTCAACAATTTGTCTTTAATTTCATGAGCATCTGTGAATCCAACTCAATAAACTGCCTTTAAGAAAGGTTACTTTTTTCCTCAGAAAACATACTTCGTGTTCATCAGCTTCATAAAGGACAGCAAATGTTAACCTTTACATTATAATAATTTATTTACTTGGACTAATTCAACCTCAAACACCGAGAATTTTATTTCATGGCTACATTGAGAATTCCCTGCACTGGACTTGGTAATAAAGCCAGTCTTAAATAATGTCAGGCTCTTGGGAGCAGGATCAGTTTTCCTGAGAGTTCTACCTGAGAAAGGATGTCATTTATAAAAGTCCGTGGTTATGAACATTCAGTATTCCATGCAGAACAGCAAGGAAGTCCACAGTATCAAGTGTTAATCATAACAGGTGCTGCTGTTACGACTCTGAAAAAGGTGTTTTCAAAGCTTTCAGTGCTATGCTGTTTCAATGGGGTATTAACACTGAATCGGGGGAGTTGAACCACTGAAATATTCAGGCTCTTGCTTCCTTTGTTCTGAAGGACTTCACAACACAAGAGGCTGCCAAAACAAGTAGAAAACTAATCTTCCCAAATCAGGTTTTGATCTACCTATATTAAGCAGAGCTGTAGGTCTAAAGATCTCCCTGTAAGCTTTCATGTTAGCTCACTTTGCAGGACACTGGAGCTCATTTGCAAGATGAGGATGTGCCCAGCTGTGCCAAAGTGACTGACGGAAATAAGCCTTGCCTCAAGGGTGCTGTGCTCAAGGGGCTGCATTACCAGGCTGGGTAGTGCAGAGGCTGTATTTACATACTGTGGCAAATTTTTAAAAAGTTAAGCTGATCTCTTCTCTTAGAAATACTGAGTTGGTGGAGGAGGGATTTTTAAGTGAGCACGTTACCCCATTTGTTGAATTACATTTTGACTTGGGTGCTGTGATGTAGGATTTTCAGCTGCAGCTCTAGCTTCCCTGCATTAGCGAGCTGATCTTAGCCCTGTGGCTACCTTTGCACAAGAAAACTGATGATTCCCTAACACTAAGGCATACTTAGGCATATTTTATATGCAAATAAAAGGCTTCCAGTAGTGTATTTCTGAAAAATATGCAAGAAGGCAGATGAGGACATTGTCATTCTTATTCATAAGTAGTGCTTGAAAGAAAAAGCTGAATGTGAAAAGATGATTCAGAAGTACACACGGAACTGAATTGTTGCATTCTTCCACATTTATAACTAGTCAAAAGATGCAGAAGAAATGGTGACTGAGCACTGATTAATGTGTATTCTTTCAAAAGTGAATAAATTACCCAGCTGTGGGTTGATTTGCATAAACTAATTCATATCCATTTTAACTAGAACCTCACATTCAAGGAAAGACATTCAGAGCATGACAGGTTTGCAGCATTAGGATTGAAATAGTCTGAAAGAGACTGCAGAGACTGAGAAACAGATCAGAAGAAACCATGCACAGGCAACTCAAAGTAGTGACATGTGCCACGTGCAGAGTATTACTCTCATGCGTTTGCAGATACTGCAGATTTACTGCAGTATAGTTTCCATGCTAAGAATTACACCTGTATGTCCTATTGGCTAATTGCTTATGGAAGCACCAGTGTGGTAGACACAAACATACATAAACTTCCAGCACCGTTTATAGATGTCAGTGTAAGCAGGTAGAAAACTTTTCTTGGCAGAACAAAGCTAAGTTAGGTTTGACAGCAGGGAAGGAAAAAACTTCACCTTTGCACTGCTGGCGTGTACAGAGCTTCCCTGGGTTTTTTTCCTTGTCCTCCTTTGTGTAGAAGTGTAGTATTACACCTGATGCTTGAGAGGAAAGTTGACTCTAATAAATGTGTGCCATCATTAGGATTTTTCTTGTACTTATTTGCTCCCAGAAGTCCACAGATACCTGCTAAGCACTTGGCCCTTTGACTGTGTTGGTCTTTGTCTCAATGTATATTTTGAAGTCAATGCTGTGCAGATTTTTCTTTTGGCTAGTGTAATTTCTATAAACTCTTCAAAATGTGAATGCATTAAGTGATTAAAAGGTGGGTTTTTTAGCTTGCTTCTGTAGTAGGAACTTTGCTTCTTGGTCTGAGACCTTTTTCTTCTATTACTAGGCAAACATTTTTAAGGCATTTGCTGAATTGTTCCAAGTTGCTTCAGCTAAACCTGCACCTCTTGGCATCTGTGATTATCCATCATCAAGAGCACTATATGCCATTGACTTGATGCTAAAATGGGACACCAGCAGAGATGGTGAGAGAAGTTCGTTTCTTTGCATGTTGAATTCTTCTTTGTGAACATTTTCAGGAATTTATTTCCTTTGCTCAGATTCTTATGGATTTTCAAGCAGCGTAAACTCTGCACTCTGCACCTCCCACTGATATCAAAGGGCATCTGAAGTTGCAGGTCTGTGGAGCTAGATGCTGCTGTGCTGGTGAACTGTGATGGCAGAGGGAGCTGCTAACTGTGCTTGGCTGAGTCCATGCCTCCCTTGGACTCCTGCTATGGCTTTGTTTTAGTTTGCTGAAGCGCAGCTGTACAGGGGCAAGTTTTCTTTCCAGTTTGCAGTGGGAGAATCCTTGCCTGTGCACTAAAGCCTTAAAGAGACATCATCCTGTGGCTTGGCCCAGTGTCTTCAGGTTGCAGTGTTATTTAGTTAAGCAGACAAGGGACCATGTTTACTATTTCAGTGCTGTTGATGTCCTTGGGACTGTCACTCAGTTGTCCCTGTGAGAATGTGTATATGGAGATGCTTCATGTTAATGTCACAGTATGGCTGACAACCACTTGGAGCCTTTCTTCCAGCTATTTGTGGATGACTGGTAGGAAAAAAAAAATGCCGAATAAGGCAAATTTCTTCTTAGCAGAAAGCTCAGATATGTCTGCAAGTGTGCCCTGTGCACACCTACCTCTTACAGGGGTAGAAAAGAATTCTCAGTTCCCAAGACACAAGCAAAATTCCATGCTTGTGCCTGGCTTTGCTGAAGGAGTGATTAGGAGTGAAACAAAAAAAACCCTGCCAGGTTGGGTCATAAAATATGACTTCTAGCCATTTTCAGTGACTTCTAGCTTAATGACAGGCAATGGTTCAGGGTCTCTGTATAGCTTGCATTATAAGGCAGTGTTTGTGTTCTCTTGGACAGGAAAAAGAATCATGCAGCCTCAGATTCTGGAGGTGAACTTCAATCCTGACTGTGACAGAGCCTGCAAATACCACCCTACCTTTTTTAATGATGTCTTCAGCACCTTATTTCTGGATGAGGCGGACAACTGCCACGTGACGTGCATCGTCTAGCCACAGGAGGCTTGATTCTTTCCTTCACAATCTGCTTCATAGCAATATTTACATTTCAGTTCTATGAGCTGCTGATGCAATTATTTTCCTGTATTAGTAACCCAGGAAAAAAAATCAGAATGCACATATACCTTATACTGTCCTGATAATTGTTTTGTCTGCATTTTCCTTGTGTTGCTTCGTGCTGTAAATCACCAATTTGTATTGACCAAATGTCTTGTTTATTGAATATGGGAAACCTCAAAATAGGACAGAACTGGAACACCTGAGTTGTTTCTCAGGTTGACTAAGCTCTTGCTTTCTTGCTAGGAAACGTGGCGTAGTTCCCTGTGTGAACATTAAAATTACAGTTTACTGAATCATCTTGGAGTTTGTATATCATTTTGTTAGCCACTCTTCTGTTGTACAAAGTTCTAAAATTTTTATGTCATTAGGCAGAGTTAAAACAGGTTATTAAAGTTGCATTTGACAAGTTTATTGAAAATGAAGTATATGAAGCTTGAATGAGGAAGGTGGGGGGAAAGATCAGTAAAAGCTCCTGGTAGTTTTCCAAAAGCTGTTCAGCGTCTGCTGAAATCTGTGCATGAAGTTATTGGTCTGTGTTAATTTTGAGTTCTTGGTGCATACAAATGCTATAAAGTGGGAGAAAAAGAAATTTGAACTGTTAGCATCTCATTTCTGACCCACTGAAGAAAGATGAAGTATTCTATTTCGGGGTGCTCTTCTTCAGAAGCCTGCTTTGTTTAGTCAGCTAAAACACTGAATAGAAGAGTAAACTGTCTCTGAAAGTTTGAGTGGCATTGAATGTTGCAACAGGTGCTTGAGACTGGCTCTGAGAGGATGCTCAGCAGATGCCCTGTGACTTGTAGGAAAGCAAAAGGCACTTTCTGCTTTGGAAGTGCTTGAAAACAAGTAACAGAGACTGGATCTAGAGCAGAGGGGGAAGTTTCCTTCATTACAGAGGAGACAGCAGCATCATGTTTAGCAAACCAGAAGAATGACACAACAAAAGTAGTGAGATTTGTGTGGTAGGACCACAAGCCCACAGGGCTAAAATACTCCATTATGCTTTTAGACAAAGATTTTTTGTTTCTTTTATCTTCCTTCTTTCAGGAAGCAGCTGGGTGAATTAAGTATCTCAGATCTTACTGTGTCAGCTACCGTAATGCCAGAGAGGAAAAACCCGTTTCCATTTCTAAGCAGCTAAAGTGAGAAGGTGCAGGTAGGAGACAACTTCAGTGCCTGTGTATGCAGTCTGCCAACAGCCCGGCTTCTTGCTCCACTGACAGGGCTGAATGGTGAGCACAGCACTTGTGGGTGCTCTGGCCAATGCTGCTGGGACTGCAGAGGTAGTACAGACAGCTGCTGAGTATTTGGGTGCTCTTGGCTTATAAATACTCTGAATTTGCTGTTTTGTCTTGCCTGCTGTAATGCTGAAAAGAGAGGAAGGGGCCCCCTTTAGGCTACAGCATCCTGTTACCTCGCATTTTTTTTTCTTCTCGTTCAAAACCTTTTTGTAACAAAAACAGTGGAAGAAAAGTAAGTTTACTTGTAGTTTAATATATTTATCTGACACTTAAGATTGTACAGTGCTTACAAGTGGGGTGGCACAAATTGTGGAAAAGAGCTGGTCTTAAACACTTGCAGAGTACAGTGATCAGAAGACACGGAAGCTGCAGTGAGACCATAAGGCACCATGCTTAGTGCTAAACGTGATTGATTCAGGCCACAGTGGCACTTGTGGCTGTGAGGAGCAGCATTCTGGAAGCTGGATTTCTTCCTCTAAATGAAGTTGCAGTTAGTGCTTATTTCTGGTAATAGTTACAATGCTATTTGTGATATAAAACGTGATGCTGCAATACAGAAAACCAGTACCTTCTGATGTGCTCTGTTGTTCAATTTGCTGCGAAACTTCATGCAGGCTTTGAGACTTGCCTACTTGAGGCACATTTGTTTAAAACAAGGATTGCAGCCTCAAATTATAATGTAGTGTAAATAGTTCAGCTAAAAAAGTAGTAAGGCATAACTTTCTTTAGAAAATTCTTGGAGCAAAAAAATGTTTTTGACCGAAAGCTGTTTATTCAGATTTCTTGTTGCGATTGTCTTTCCAGATCCGGTAATTGAGCGCAGAAGCCATGGTCAGCCAAGCTAAATACGGGACCATCAAGTAAGCAGCTGTTCTGTTGATGTGATACCAGGAAGCAGTGGTAGCTGTCGCTGTACCAGTTGTGAGCAGGAGAGTCGCCAGCCCCTACAACACAGGAAGGTGGTTAGTGTCCTTTTCCTCATTGCATTTTCTTAACTAGATGGTATTTGTGTGGCTCTTTCTACTTAGCACTGACACTTTGCAGCTCCCTCTGTGAGCTGACTTCTCAGCACATAGCTAGCAAAAAGATTTTTGCTGAGCTAAGAGTTGAACTGACTGATAAAGATAATAAGATGGTGAGAAGAAAGGACACTGCAGCTGGGAGCAGACAAAATTCTTCTCATCCGTACTCTTTTTTTTTTTTTCTCTTTTTCCATTGGTAGCAGAAACAGTCCCTTAGCCACGTAATCTCACCCAGTGCTGTTCTGCTCTAGATACTGCCTGAAGAGATGTGGTGTGGTTGAATTAATTATGGTTTGCAAAGCATTCTGCTTTTAAAACATTGCTCTTATATTTAGAGAGCCAGGCAAATCATTTTTTAATACTAATTTTTATTTTTAAGGTGAGCTGTTTTTCTTCAGCATGCAGAAAGCTGCTCTTGTCTAAACCAGATGCTGATTACGTGAGTAAATGATAAGCTTCTTATCGCCACTGTTTGCCAAAGAGATACCTAGGAACTTTGCTAAGGCATAACTGTTTGCATTTTGTAGTCGCAGAAGGCTCTTATCAACAGGTGTCAGAAAGAGCTACTTGTAATCTGAACTCTGAAGGGTGTTGTAAATTCTCACAGGTGGCTGCTGGAATGCAGTAAGAAGAACAGCAGCAAACTTCTGCAAACCATCTTCTGTACTGATGATACAAACCGGGTTCGGTTTCAGAGCGGAAAAAATCACGATGCAAGTTTTAGCCTCACCACCTCGCAGATGACTGCAAAAGCATAGGCTGAAGAAACAAACTTATTCACTTACCCATCCCATTTTGTGAGCTCCAAAAAATATGGGAGTCCATGCCCAGTTTAATGCCAGCTGCCCTGCATACAGGCCCAGAGGAACCACCGCCTTTTCACTGAAGCCCCCCAGTTCTTTCCACACCAGGTAAGAGCCGTATCTGAAGAAAGCCAATGCAAGGGATAATCCAGTACTTGGTTAGAAAGCGGCCGTGTTTTCTTAAACAAACGAAATCGCTTCAGTGTCAGTCTAAATTCACTTGGAAATGTCCTGGCACTACTTGACAGAATGGCTGACTGTGGAGGGTTGATTATCTGCTGCAGACAGCAAGACGGAAAGAAATATTCTCTGTTCTGTCAGAGTTCTCATTTCTAGGTGCAGAAAAGCAGATAACTTACTGCATTTCAGTCTTAATAGAGAATGCTGTGTTGAAATGGAAGCAAGTCAAAGACTTGAAGGTAAAAGGTAAGTCTCTAAAGAGAGGAAGAAACAGTTGCTGTCAGTACTGAGAGAGGATGGTTTAAAAATATCTTTGTTTGGAAGAAACCTTTCTAAATAGATGGAAATGAGTGTAGAAGTAGGAATTGAGATGGGAATGAACAAAATGAATACCATCCCAAAGTGCATGCGTGAATGTGGATGGTGACTGAGCAGAAAAGGAATCTATAGTCACATTTCAGAAGGGAGGAGGGAAGGGTACAGAAGGTACAGAGATTTTTAGGACTTCTAGAGAAAGAACTGAAGGCGTATCCAGCGCCCTCCCCCCCTTGTGGGGCACCAGCTTATAAAAAGACCTTCCAAAAATGTTCTGAAGTTTTTTAACAGATCATCTTAATGCCAAAGAAGAACTGTTCAACCAGAACAATCCCAGAATATAAGCTGATAAAGACAAAAATTCTTCGGATTTGGGAAATGACTACTGTAAGATTTTCTTTTAAACTTTAAGAGACTGATTAGAACAGGGAGACTCTTGTTCATTTAACTTTTCCATTAGACGAACCAATGCAGTTGACTACACAGTCATTCCAAGAGTGCCAACACCCTGAATTATACGCCTGTATTCAGTTACTAATTCTAAAACAGATTCCATCTTCTCTTACGAGTCTGCTAGGTGTGTGAACTGCACTGTGCACCTGCTGAACAGCAGGGGGCTCAAATGTGTTTCTGTGGTAATGAACTTTCAAGCTGTTGCAGTCTACATATCTCAGTCACGTAAGGAGGATTTCTTTTTCTCTTTGACTCAGTGACCCAGGCTTGCTTTGTGGCCATGTCTTTCATAAAGACTAAACAATGGATCTTTGGAAGCTTTGTAAACCTTGCTTTTAATTATTTATTGCTTTTAATATTCTCAGATTCTGTACAAACGAGAAGTCTTAACCACTCCAAGGTTTATACATGGCAGGTTATGGAAGCAAAAGCCTGATGATAAATAGATTTTCAGTCAGTTAGATGTATATAGTATGTAGCTGAAACCACTTACCTCAGAACATATTGCTTGCTTTTGGTATTACCAAAGCAAGTGATTTTTAAAAGATTTAATGTGGCGTCCAGTTTTATGATGAGAATTCAAGAAACAAGTTTACAGATTGCACAGTCAGCTTGAAGAGAAAGCTCCTCAGCTCTTGTCTCCCTGAGATAAGGCATTTTTTATCCAAGGGACAGCAACCCGAATTCTAACTCTGAGCACACAAGAGCAAAGAGCAATTAAATAAATATGCACACATACCCTGTAAGAAGAGGAAAGAAGAAAGAATACAGACAGAAAAGAGCATGTGGATCTGTACAAATTACAAAGCCTTTATTTCCAGAGAAGTAAACCAAAATGAGAGAATGTTAAATCAGCTCTCTTACACGTTCAGGTATGCGTTCAGATACTGGATCATTGCTGTATTTTGCAACAGGTGTTGTAGTATTTAAATTAACTTGCAGGATAATGACATAATGTTGGAAAGGAACAGGTCTCTCTTATTTAACTGCTTTAAAATACTTGACAGCAATTACTGTCAGAAGAACGGGGAATCATGAGGCCAAATCCCATTCCCACAGGTACCGAAGGAGACAGCAGAGGGTTTCAGATCTCTAGAACTTAAGAGGCTGGCAGTTAAGCTGAAAGGGTGTATTAGTTTTGATTTTGGATTTATTTTAATTGAGCTATGTTAAAACAATTCTGTCCCAATCCTCTCACCCCTCCCTTTTGTTTTTAATTTCCTAAAACCACTGAAGGACATGCAGAGAAGAAATCCCAAAGCTGCCTGGCTTCACTGCTGCCAGCCTGGCAGATCTTCCCCTCAGAATGAATGAGGAAAGCAGATGAATGGCAGCTTTTCCGACTCCTGCTTTTGTAGTGGACAGTTCTACATACAAAGCGTGCCCACACACAGCTTCCCCAGACATATCTGTACCTGCTAGACAGGCAGCTCGGTACAGTTTCTCGCAGACATACAAGCCACAGAAATTTAATAACAGTTTTCTAGTCTAGCACTGTATAATGAACAACCTGGAGATCACAAAAGTGTATTGATACGATGTGAAAAACGTACCCCATAGATGTATAGAGAGTTCCCCAAACTGGAGCAAACACCCAGTTAGGGGGACACCAGGATGGCTTCTGCAGAGATTCATACCACACTGGGATTTCCTTTCTGGTTATCTTGCTTCCTAAAACTCCTCCTGCATGAGGCAGGAGCGTGAAACCCACGGCTGAAGCCCAGGCTGGTACCACTTCCATTGAGACTGAATCTGAAACAAACCCAAGAAAGTGGATTGGCAGAGTAAGTTTAAAAGGAAACAACTAAACTATTTCATATTTTTTAGGCAGATTTTAAAAGTATACAGAGGAAGGGTCTGATTCACAGCCTACTCTTGTCTCTCAGTGCAGCTGAAATTAATGGATCTTGTATTGGCTTCACTGGACAATACTCACCTCCATATAGGAACCTACCATTTAGTTTCTGGCTTTTTTGAGCTTTCATTTCCTTCTAAGCTTTGTGCAGTAAGGGTACTGAATTTTACCTATGTCAATCTTCTCACTTGGGTATACCAGGGGAACAGTGCAGTTTGATAGAAACTTGCATTTCTGTATTCAGCGAGAGCTCCATTCACTCACTGGAGTGGTGCACTTGGGAATAAAGCAGTGTGTCTTGCCTGTGCCCAACCAAAGTAGTTCTATACATTGTGTTGTGTTTCTAGCCTTGGAGGGTGAGCAGTGAGATGGATGTGATAAGCAGCAGATGCTTGAGAAACTGACACAAGATAAAACGCCAGGGAGGATGAAGATGGATAGGAGGAGAATGTAGCTCCGGCTTCTTCCTGAAGCAGGCAATCATCTGTAGCCATCTTAGCTGCCAAACACATACAGTCCACAGGATTAAATTTGCCTGCAGAAGTAACACAAAGTGCTGCCTCACTCTGGTAGCCGAGCTGCTTGAGTTAGTGTACGGGCACCAATAAAACGAGTCAGAAAGTAAGCAGGGAAAAACTTGGTCACCATTTTTCTGGCCGAAAGTCAAATGCTATAAAAGATCTGTGTTTAGGTTGCTAAAATGCAAATAGATAAGAGGTGTAGTAAAAAGGGCAGAACCAAAACGTGTTGTTTTTCAAATACGCAGTTGTCAAATACACCCCATTCCTGTTAATCTGTTTGGGGGGAGGGCAGGTGGCAGGAAGGAATCACAAAAGAGACTGCAGGAGGCAATGGGAGCCCTGGGCCTTGGACACCCCCAGGAGAGAGAGCTGTAGGGCAGTCATACTCAGAGATGTGCCAAAGGAGGATGTCCTATATGAAACTGTATGAAGGTTTTGTTGGTACAGCTGTGTCTGATGCGATAAGGAGACAGGGAGTGGGACAGAGAAAATCCTACCGGTAGCAGATGTGCTTAAGAATAGGATGCTGCACTGATGGCATCATCTGTCAGAGCTCTGCTGGCACCCTGTGTTTTTATGCAGGGAACAGGAAGGAGCCAGGCCAGCAAGGGACATCTCCTGCACAATGGTCTTCTCACTCTGCCCATGTAGATGTAATGAGGATTAATTTAATTAATCCTCAGCCACAAGGCTGAGTAGGATCACAAACATTTCTGGTGGTAGATGCAAAGCAGAGATTTGCAAGAAAAGCAGCACAGAGGGATGGGAGAAGCACACAGGGTACGGAAGTATGTAAGGAGTTAACAAGAAAGGCTGTGTAGGCAGTGGGGCTGCCTCAGGGGAGAGCTGTAGGAGGGAAGGAGTGGGAGCGCACAAAAAGGACAGCAAACAAAGCAGTAAAGCTGTCAAAACCATAACAGAAGGGTGAAGTGGTGCAAGGCAAAAGACAAGCCCAGCAGTGCCAAATGCAGAACTGAGCTGGGGAGAACTGGGGAGGGAGAACAATGCACTAGCCTGCTGGAGCAGCACCGGGTCTTGGGTGGAGGATAGGCTGCAAGGAAGGGAGGAAAAGAACTGCATAGCTCTGTGCTGTGGTCACTGCTGCACTTCCTGCCCTGTGTCTTTTCTGCTGCTTCACCACGTAGCGTCTTACCTAGAGTAGAGGAGTGAAGGCGTTCTCCCACACCTTGGTCCTCTGTGGTTGTCCTCAGATAGTAATTCCCAAAGGTTGTGTTAGAAGCTGAAAGCTCAGATCTCACCAGTTGTTACACCACTGCTCACATCATGAATAAGTGCACACTGGGGCTTAGTGTGCATGGACACACGCCTCAAGGTGCCAGTCAGCTCTGCTGCTGCAGCACACTGATCCAATGCCAGTGGGTTCCCAAAGTGATAAGTGAGGACCTCAGGGGCGTTATACTCCGTTGGGCCACAGAAGCATCAGGGCAGTTTCCTGCAGGTATCAAGCAGCTGGGCTGCGTCAGGCATTGTTCCTTTTGTCAGCTTCTCCCCATGGAGGAAAGGCCTGACATGATTTGCAGGCTGGAAGTGCTGAATGCTATCAAATTGGAAACGTACTGCTCTGCTCCAGCCAGTGACTAAATGACACAGCTCCAAACCTGTCCCTCCACACATCAGAGGAAACACTGAGTGACAAGAAATCAGGAGGGCACACAGAAATGGGGAAAGCACAAAGCATAGAAACAGGGCAAGTACTGCTGTGTGTGAACAGGAGATAGGAAGATACAGAAGTAAAAAGGTGAAATGTACTGGTTTGAGTTGACTGTTGGTGTCCTATTCTTTTGACTGTTGTTACTACTAATTACATACTCTGTTTCCCAACAGCATTTCTCAGGACTTGCCAGCATTGCAAAATGCTTTCCTGCATCACATAGAGCTGTGTAACAAAGTTGCAGTGTGCCAGAGGGTCAGTCCCATAACACACAGCTGTCTATCAGCAGTGGAGCTCTGTATTTAACTCCCCAGAAGCTAAATTCCAGCATCAAATACCCATAAAAAGCAACAGCTGACTCATGGAGCCACACTGATTAACTCTGGAAGAAGCTTTGTCCATCTTTGGTTACTCGGTACAGCTTTTCAGTGAGGAAGTGATCACACAATGGAGATGTGCTGCATCCAAACAAAGAAGCTGGGACTAGAATGGCAAAAGATCAGGCAGCAGTGATGGGCAGACTGTGACAGAAGGTGCAGTGTGTAAAACCCCAGTGTAAGGTAAGCACTGGAACAGGCTGCCCAGGGAGGTGGTGGAGTCTCCTTCTCTGGAGATGTTCAAGACCTGCCTGGATGCCTACCTGTGCGACCTGCTGTAGGGAATCTGCTTTGGCAGGGGGTTGGACTCCATGATCTCTGGAGGTCCCTTCCAACCCCTACAATTCTGTGATTCTGTGATTCTGTGAAGGTGACAAAGACAGGAGAAAACATGGTGAAGGGGTCTGAGTGATGCAATCTGATCTCAGGTTTCACTTCTAACCTTTCGTGAACATGCAGCTTGCAGCCCTGTCCCAAATCTGCAGTGCAGCAACAGATCTGTGCTGCCCGTGGCATGCCCAGGAAATTTCTGAGAGTAATGGAGTTTAAGGGTTCATAAAGCATTGCCAGCCCTGCCTTTTTTTCAATGTAGCATGCTACCCACCTTTGTCTGAATTAAGCACGATGCTCACAGATTTAGGCCTGAAAACCATCTAAGTTTTTATGATCAACTATAATGAGACAACAAGGATTTTTAAATTTTTTTTTAACATTAATAATGCTGTTATTGTTCATAACTGGAATTATTCATTTGGAATTACATACTGTAACCACCTGATGTTTGCAAGAATGCATCAGGGCCAAAGGTGGGTTCCCAGCCACTCCACACCAGCTGAGGTGATAAGGATCCTTCAGCCACTCGTGCCCTGTGCTCACAGATATGCAGGTTCTGCATTTGGAAACATCCAGGCTGTGAAACAGACAGCTTTCCTTCTCTAATTTGTTTTGTTTGGGCACATCCTGTCTTCCAAGCATGTACAGACACCTGAAGTTACTTAGCGATAACTTACTGGCACAGGTATGTTAGCACAGCCCCTCCAGCTGCATCCATTACACAACCTACACTGCTTTCCCAGTCGGCTCCCAGCTCCACTGCAGGGAGAGCTGGTTGTGCAATACTTCTGCACCCTGATTTTCATACTGAAGAAACCAGGATGTCTGTAGATGGTATCTGCAGCATGCAGACAATTTGATCTCTGCTGCTGGAGCTTTGCTCCCTCAACACACTTAATAGAAGCTTATTTCTGTTCCTCTCGTCTCTGCCCTGCAATGTTTTCCTCATCATCCTGCCCATTTTCTGCTTAGCCCAGTCTGGCTGTAGCAGGCCAGTTTGTTTCACCCATGTTAAAATACTGCTTCTGGCTATTCAAAGCAGCCGACCTGTCCAACAATAGTTCCAGCTTTGTAATGCACCAAGAGAAATAAAGGGGAAAATCGGCAACATTATGGCTTGCAGCCTTCTGTCTTTTTGCAGGTTGTTTTCCTAGGGTGGCACAATGTACAGAAAGTGAAGCGGAAGCTTTCCGTGTCCTCTCCTTTGTCTGGAAGAGGTTGTGTACAAGAAAGAACAGGGTGTGGAGAACAACGTGTACTGTGACAGAGGAGCCAACATGCCTCAGGGTAGTGAAGAAGTACCCAGAGTGAAGGAGCAGCTCTGTGAGAGCCAGGTGTGTGCCCTCCCCCTATCCATGCTGAGCACTGCCAGAGAGCAGGAGCAGAAGAGGACAGCCGCTTCCATTGCAGTATTACATCCCTGCTCCGATAAACCTCTGACTAATCCCCTTAAGTAACTTGGTGCTGGCTTTCCAATCACACGGGGCTTAAGTTACAGCTATTGCTTTAACAGTGCTAAGGAAAATCTCTCAGTGGGGCGAAGTTACCGACAAGGCTTTGGAGTTGTGGTCCTGGGCACGCTGAGGTAGAGACAAAGCCGCAGAAGTTGGGAGTGAGGTCCCCCAGAGGAGACACTTATCCTCTCTAATACGCTGTTTTGGGGGCAGTAAGTTTCTACCCAGATCTGAGAGGCAGCATGCAAATCCTCATTGGGGAAAGGCTCCACATCACATAGCTGCCCAAAGGATTAAGGGGTGCATGCCTGCTGGATAGCGATAAACCTCTTAGGTCTGCCTCGGCTCTGGCTGCTGGGAAACAGTGGCACTGAAGACAAAGTTTTCTCACAGCTTGTGGTACAGAACTTAGCTGCCTCAAAGGAGTCTTGTCTGTAAATCTTTAGTAATAGCTGGAGCAACGTCAGGTGTGTTTGCCTGAAATAAGGGACTTTTATGGCTCATTTGTAATTTAAAACAATATATATTGCATAACAGAAATACAACATAAACTTCTAACTATATGTTTATAGTGTGCACTTATAAATTAAACAGCTGATGGTATGTCCTTAAGGATATAGGTGAGCGACACAAGCATGCTTATCTGGTTTGGAGACACAGCAGGTCTCGCTGCCCAGGCCACTGCTTTCCAAATGGCAAAGTCACACACTGAGAGGCAGCCCTCTCTGCTGGGATGGATCTGCCTGCGTGACAATTTGCCATTTACTGCTCAGTCTCTTGTAACTTTCACCATGTACATTTGTGTAAGATCCTCAGAACAGGCCGTATTTTAAAGACAACGCACCCTTTAGGCAGTCTTCCTTTGCCACCACTTCTCAAGCGCCATCCGTGTATTTAATTAACACAGACGTTCCCCTTGGATATTCCCCGTGTAGGCGCCGTGCAGACCTGGGAATTCTTTAGACAGAGCGGGATGTAAGAGAACCTCTTCCAGGACTGCCTCCATAGCGGAGGGCAGTTGGCGGCCCACCCACACGGCCAAGCCCTGAGCGCTGCAACACGGCCAGCGCCCTTCGTGTGGAACCAAAGGGAGAGCGGTGCTGCTTCTGTTCGGGCTCAGCAGCCGGGGGCTCCCCGGGAACAGAACGGCCCCTCTAGATCTCAGCCGCTTCCCGAGGGGCCCGCAGCCCCAACAACAACTGAGGAAACCAAGAGAGCAGAGAGAAACCGAGAAACCGAGGGAGCCTGGAAATCTAAGAAAATAAATCCGGCCCCCCCTGGCGCCCGTGAGGAGATGTCCCATTAGGAGCTGTCGCGCCGTTCCGGCTTCCAGCACCGCGGCACAAGGGTCCCCCCATCCCCGGCCGGGGCCAGGGCCACCCCTTACCTCCGCTCCGCTCCCGCGCCGCCGCCTCCTCTGCCGCGAGTGCCCGCCCGCCGGCGGGGCCCGCCCCAAGGAGGCGTCGCGGAGCAGCGCGGCGCGAGCCGTGGACGGCGGGGCCGCTCGGTTCCCGGGGCAACGCGGGCGGGCAGACGGCGGCCATGGGCAGCTGGGCCGCGGCAACATGGCGGCTCGCTGGCTGCAGCGGGCGCGGCGTCCTGCCCGGCGCAGCGCGGCGGCGGGGCAGCTCGCTCCGAGGCGGTGGGGAACGGGCGGCGAGCCTGAGCGAGTTGCTGCAGAGCTCGGTGGGGGACGGGGAGCCGGGCGAGGAGGGGGAGGCGGCGGAGGCGAGGCGGGAGGGGCGGTCTCCGCGGGAGGGCACGGTGCTGCTGTTCCCCGGGCAGGGCAGCCAGTTCGTGGGGATGGGCCGCGGGCTGCTGCGCTATCCCGGCGTGCGGGATATGTACCGCCTGGCCGAGAAGGTGCTGGGCTACGACCTGCTTTCGCTCTGCCTGGAGGGGCCGCGGGCCGAGCTGGACCGCACCCGGCACTGCCAGCCCGCCGTGTTCGTCGCCTCCCTGGCCGCCGTAGAGAAGCTCAACCACCTGCAGCCTAAGGTAGGCGCAGCCTAAGGGCCCCGCATCGAGCCGCCGGGGCCGCGAAGTGGCTCCCGCCACCCGGCTCGGCCCGGCCCGGCCCGGCCCCGCTGACGGCTGCCCGTGTGTCCGTGCAGGTTGTGGAGAGCTGCGTGGCCGCCGCCGGGTACAGCGTGGGCGAGTTCGCGGCGCTCGTGTTCGCCGGAGCCATGGACTTTGCGGAAGGTGCGGGTCGGAGGGGGAATTTTGCTTTCTGTTCCTGCGGTTTTCTTTGATACGCGTGACGTCGCCATTAAAAACACCAACCTTGGAAAGGGTTTGGAGTCAATAGGCGTCTGAACGTGAGCCAGCAATGTGCTCGTGTGGCCAAGAGGGCCAACGGCATCCTGGCCTGTACCAGAAATAGCGCGGCCAGCAGGAGCAGGGAGGTGATCGGCCTCTGTACTCAGCCTGGTGAGGCCGCACCTTGAGTACTGTGTTCAGTTTTGGCCCCTCTCTGCAAGAAAGACATTGAGGCCCTGGAGCGTGTCCAGAGAAGGGCAGTGAAACTGGTGAGGGGTCTGGAGCACAAGTCTTGTGAGGAGCGGCTGAGGGAGCTGGGATTGATTGTTCAGTCTGGAGAAAGGAAGGCTGAGGGGAGACCTCATTGCTCTCTGTAACTCAGTTACAGTGACGTGGGGGTTGGCCGCTTCTCCCAATAAACTAGTTATAGGATAGTAAGTAATGGCCTCAAGTTGTACCAGGGGAGGTTCAGATTGGATATTACAAAAAAATACATCTCTGCGAGAGCAGTGGTGCATTGGGTGGTGGAGTCACTGTCCTTGAAGTTGTTCAGTAAACGTGTAGATGTGTCACTGAGGGACACGGTCAGTGGGCATGGTGGGGATGGGCTGATGGTTGGACTGGATGATCTTGGTGATATTTCCAACCGTAGTGATACTGTAATTCTCACTCCCGATGTGAGCGAGCTGCCTGTCTGCACTCACCTGTCCCCTTCTCCCCTCAGCACTCTATGCTGTGAAGGTACGTGCTGAGGCCATGCAGGCGGCGTCGGAGGCCGTCCCCAGTGGAATGCTGTCAGTCATCGGCAGACGAGAGGTCAACTACAAATACGCTTGCCTGGAAGCCCGTAGGCACTGTGAGTCGCTGGGCATTGACAGCCCCGTGTGCGAGGTCTCCAACTACCTGTTCCCAGATAGCAGAGTCATCGCAGGCCACATACAGGTAGTGCTGCAGGAGATGCACCTGCTTACTTCAACTTAATGTCTTAAAACTGCTCCAAAAGTAATGCCACCTATTTTGTTTTGTTGGCCCGCAATGCCAGAGGCAGATGTTGGTGGTATGGCAGTAGAGGCTAAACCTTCCCACCGATATTGTGTTACGTTTTGTTGCTGTGTGACAGATGGCAGCAGAGGGGCGGTCTGACAAAATGGCATCTGACGTGGAAGTGCATATAAAGCAAAGTTCTGTCCTTGAATTCCTCCATGTGGAAAAAATGGCAGCCACTGACAGTTATCAACACTTACTGAATATCTGTAGAGACCAGACAGTGGATGTGAACACATGGAGGCAGCTGGCGGTACTTTTCAACAGTAGTGACAGCAACCATAGGTCATCTCTGCTTCTACAGATTTTTATGAGCACAGCATGCAGGCTCTTGTTCATCTCTGGCAAAAATGCATAGCTAATGGTGGGGACTATGTTGCAAAATGGTGTTTTGTAGCTGAGAATTTGCTCTATCAAATTGTGTTATTATGCTCTTTGTTGTAGAAATAATAGGAGGCATTACTTTCAGAACAGCCTATGTATTTGCTTCATGGTTTTTTTCCCCACTGTGTGCTTGGTGGTTGGGTAGGAGAGGAGTGGCTTTATTACCTTGAGCCTGGAGAGGCCAATCTGGTGGAGTGAGCACATGGAACTCTGTTGTGCCAGGCTGTGATTGCTCTCCCTTTCTTATAGGCTTTGGAGTTTTTGCAGAAGAATGCCCCAAAATTCAACTTCACACGCACCAAAATGCTTCCAGTCAGTGGTGCCTTCCACACACAACTCATGGAACCAGCAGTAGAGCCGCTGGCTGAAGTCCTGAAGTCCATCGAAATACAAAAACCACTGATTTGTGTCTATTCCAACGTGGATGGCAAAAAGTACATGCACTCAAAGCACATCCAGAAACTGCTGTTGAAGCAGCTCGTCTCACCCGTGCTGTGGGAGCAGACTATGCATTCTGTGTACCAGAGGAAGCAGGGAATGGAATTTCCATACACTTATGAGGTGGGTCCTGGGAAACAGCTGGGAGCGGTTCTCCGAAAGTGCAATCTGAAAGCCTGGAGGCAGTACAGCCATGTGGACGTCACAGAGGAGGAGGAAGCAGCAGAGACATAAACAGCTTTTTGAGAAGAATCGACGCGACTTGTGCTTTCCACAGTGTACAAATAATGTCAGGCTCCTGAAAGGGGAAGCGTGAAACACTGATGGCTCTTCGCAGCGAGAGGAGCATCGTGCGTCACCACAGGAAATGTTCTTCTCCACCGTGTGCCTTGGGTGTGGAGCGGGAGCTCAGCTCTCCCACCTGCACCAGGACTGTAGAGTTGTCAATAAATGACCAAACAGCTTCCTCCTTGGCCTGCATCCTGCAAGCAATGTCCTTGTTTTTATTCTTTTTGTTTTGTTTATTTTGAATTTGTGTGAGTGGTGAGCATGTGTGCATTCAAATTACGGCCAGAAGTAGCACTGTCTGTGCAGGGTGTGCTGCCTGGGTTACACTGTTCTGTCCCATACAGGCCTGATGTTGCCCTGCCGAGGCATGGGCTCCTTTAGGTGACTCCATCCCCATGCAGCCACTCTGGTGCAGGGGTTGTCCCCCCCATGCCTTGCCTAAGCTGCCTGCTATGAAGTTCACCTCCATCAAATCCTTTTGTTTCACTGTTGCCTCCTAGCAGTCAAATAAGGCAAAATATGTGGATTTGGGTTGTTTGTCTGTTTGTTTGTTTTGCAGAAAGGATATGATTTTCCCAAAGTTTAAGCTATTGGTAAACTGTAGAACTTTTCTGGTTATTTTGGATGCTTCACGGCATGTGATTACTGACAGGTAGTCCCCACACTGAAGGAAATTTTTCCGTGTAGCTGCTCAGCATCACACCAGTACTAGGTTATCTTGGAAGGAGGAAAGTAAGGAAAGGAATGCCTTGGCAAGGCTCACAGTCGAGCGGTGCTGTACATTGTGGCTGTGAGTAGTGCAGTGCTGGCTAACCACTGGTTCACCAGCAGGGTACAAGCTCCTTATGCAGTTCCGGGACCTGTGACAATTACACACAGAATGCTCAGAAAGTCTTTGCTGTTTGCCTGCAAGGGGTGCTTAAAGCTCTAAAGAAAATCAGAGAGCAGCCATTTGTTATTGGATTGTGTACAAAAGTGCAGGCAAAGGCTGTGTTGTGGATATTCAGCTGAGCAGTATCTTTGGGTTGACCTTCCTGTCTTCTTAGTTTTGGAATTTTGTTAGTATAGTATTTAGTAGATGCATAGGAAAAGCCAAACTATGCATAACTATAAAGGAGCAGGAGGGCATCTCATGTCCTAAAACCCATCTGCAGAAGGTGGAGGATAGTGCGTGAGCTGGCAAAGGGTGCTTAGCTCTTATTGCTGTTATTGGCATTCTTTTGATGTGCTTGTGATCTACCCCTTCTTCTGGAGGCTGAAAGTTTAATGATGTAAAAAGCCAGCGCAGCTCCTGCACCTAGGAGCAAGCAGAAACAGGATGTGGAAAAAAAGTCAAATGCCATAAACTCTGTCACATGAGGAAGTGTGCCTGTTTAAAAAAGAAAATAATGAAATGCAGGTCTCCTGAGTCGCAGTGCAGAGCCATGCAGGATGCCACATGTGAGGCAGCCTAGCTATTCCTGTTTATTGAGCATCCCTGCTGATGCTTGGTGCAGGGTCTGTTTGCACTGTGTTTCTCTTGTGTCAGTGTGGTTATGTTTCTTGCTCTCCAGTGCTGTGTTTTGTTCCATCCATACAAGATGCTGTACGTCCCCTGGGATTCAGTGTTACAATACTGCGGACCCCAAGAGTGAAAAACTGCAGTCATCCCTGGCAGCAGTCAGATGGCAGTGACAGAGCAGCAGCCTCCTGTACATAACTGCTTCCCAGTGCATAGAGATTATTTATCCAGAAACACATAGCATTGTTTTGTGCTGTTGAAGTGACTCTGCCAGGAAGGATTGCATAATGGCAGTTGGTACATTTGTTACCTTGCTGAGGTGGTTTATTAGACTGTCCTGACGGGAATTTTTACCCTTCACTAGATAATGACCGTAAAATATTTTCTGTTATACCTCTAATATGGAGTTAAACAGAACAGCCAATTCACTGATGACATTTTGGCCTGGCTTTTGGCTACGTGAACAATTCTGTTTGCCACCTTCTGGCCTGGATCAGACCATGGTTCCAATCACGTCCTGTGTGCTTTGCTGGAAGGTACCCAGCGTGCTTACTGCTGAAAGGCAGATCAGTCTGGGGCTCTGTGACAGAAAGGGGACATATTTTTGGAGAGGCTCCAGTGTGTGTGCTACTGTTTGAATGCTTAGAGCTATACTGGGCCCATCGCCCTTGAAGTACCTTGGTTGGTTTTTGTTTTGTTTCTTTTTTTTTGCTCTGCATTTCAAGTCAGGTAAAGATATTTTAAAGTCTTACAACAAAATATCAGACAAAAGATTCTAGTTTGACCTTTTTTTCCTCTTTTTCCCCGCCGAAAAGTTGTGTGAGGTGGAAGCCCATGAGCGGAGTGGGATTTGGTACTGCGCACACGGGAGCAGAAACGCACTCCTCAGTCCTCTGAAACTGTCCTGGGTTGGGATTTACTTTTAGGAGGAAGAGAATGCTTCCAATCCCTTGTCTGACTTAAAGGTGGGGCTCAGACTGGAAGCTCCAACCTCTCAGACAAGGCCATAAGAACCGCACCTCCCTGCTGCGGAAGCACCCTAGCAGCAGCGGCGGTCACCTGACAAGACAGGAAGCAGGTAACCCCTCTTGCGAGGGGAATGCCCAAACCACAGGGACTCGCTTTCATTTTCTCTCTGTCTGCATCTGCGCGCAGTGAAAAGCAGCACACAGGTAGGCAGGGTGATATGGGGTGGCTGCGGTTTGCCCTTGAGAGGAAGGCGGCCGTGTTTGGCTGCCACACGGGGTTGCTGGGGCTGCCATCTGCCCCTGCCGCCATTTTGCAAGTTCTCTCCAGTCGGCAGTTTCCCGCTAACCACATGGCTTCTAAGATGAGTCAGCCAAACGCAAAACCAAGGCCCTTCTCAAATTCAAACAAATTCTTGTTTTCCTGGACAACTCAGAATTTGACTTCGTAAAGCAGAAGAATGTAAGATCTGTCATTACATTTTTGAAACATACTGGAAAAGTAATGGGTTGAGCTGGGAGGCACTTGAGTGCCAGTCCAACCAGCCTGACTGTTAGCACACCATCTAACAGCTCCTCTTCCAACCAAACGTAATTCCATGTGCTTTTCTTATTACACAGTCGACTAAAGCCTGTCCTGTAGTGTTAGATAAATTAACTAGATAAGGAATTCTGTTACTAACACGTAACAGCACAGTCTTGGAAAATAATGTAGATGACACTGCAGAACATGTGAAGCAACAATTTAATTTTAGAAAAGTATCATGGTTTTTATCTCTGTTATTGCTTTTACAGTGTTTAAGTTTTAAGGATGACCAGCATGCCTTCTGTCTCCCCCCACAGCTGGAATCTTTTCAAGAAACTCCATGATATGAAATAGATGCTTTACATTGCATTAAAACAAATGAAAAAAGGACAGAAATGGACTTTGTAACCTGGCCTCACACTTCAAAACTAGCAAGTCAGGCAGTTATCCAGCAACAACCTCATAATTTTAAACATTTTTCTTCTTAAAAAAGTTACCAAACAGCAGTGACCCAGCACTAGCCTAGGTTTTAAATATAAAAGAGATTTTTATCAGTGTAAATTTGAAAAACAAACCAGCTGCCACCACCTGGGTGTTAATTATATTGGTCAGAGTCCAGCAATGACCTCCTATGGTAATTCTGTGTTAATTCTGCAGTCCATAGCTTATGGCCCACCAAAATGCGACGGCGAGCAGAGCTGCAGGCACCAGCTTCTGGCAGACACACCTGAAAGGAAGCCGGCAAACCTGCAGGAGGAAAGGGGAGGCCATTAGGAACAACAGGGAGCAAAGTGCTGGTGCAGGAAAGCAAGGGCAAGGGGAGTGCTGAACTGAAAGCGTCGCCTCTTCCTCTGCAGGAACGAGCAGTGGGGTCAAGCCTCGCCTGCCTTACCCAAAGTCTAAAAGGTCCTCATATCTTCTCCAAAACATAACAACAAACAACAAAACAACACAGATTATAACAGCCCTACCTATCTAATCCAGAATGTATCCTCACAGCTTTTTATAGCAGGGAGGCTCCTGTCTGCACAGAGCCCCAGTGATGTCAGTGACACTTTGGCACCTGTTTTGAGTGTTTGCAGGCATTTAGCTCACTCAATTTGTGAACAGGACATTTGGTAGGGGGTGTATCAGCAAATTAAAGAATAAACCCAAGCCCAGAGTAACCCAATAGGCTTTACTCCTTGGCATTTTGGAGTTTCTGAGCAGAAAGTGGGAGAAAAGGGAGAGTGCATACCCAGCTTCCATAGTCAGCAATCCTCTTTGTCCAGTTACTGTTCAAAAAGTTTCCAAAGCTTCTTGTAACACTTCTAATAATATTCCATGTCTGGAAAACACTGATAGCAACCCTGATGATTTAGAAAACACCACAAACAGAAAGAGAAAAAAAAAACAAACACGGAGACGATAGTAGTTTTATTCTAAAAATTAGCAAACAAAATGCCAAAGTGTAGAAAACTACAAAAAAAAGCCCAAAACATATATGTTCCTTCTTGGAAGTCTAAGGAGTATCCTATACATGTGTATTTCATAGAATCATTAAGGCTGGAAAAGATGCACAGCAGCTCAGGTCAAGGTGACCGAGGCTGAGTTAAGGAACACAGCTATGACTGGGCTTCATTCTCTTCAAGTCTGCAATAACCAACTCTTGTTTCAAACTGGGACATTACTATGTTAATTACTGTGCTTCTGCAGTTAATCTGCAGTTGATAACTATGCATGACAACCCTGCCAGCCCTCAGCAGATAAAAGGCAGTGCAAACGAGTTGAGCCATGTTTTATTGTATCTGCGATGATGGGTTGTTTGACATGCAGTAACACGTTAATCCCTGAAGCACTGCACTTGCTGGGCCTCTCCTCACTTTGCTGTGCTTAAAGATGCTGTCTAGGCAAGGAAAACTACGGTGCTATTGTGGAATTTTAAGCACCAAGAGACAGTTAACTCTCTGTAAATGGTTACAGTCTGTGGAAACAATTTACATTATAAGATTCTTGATTGTAAAATAAGATTCAGTATATGGTTTCTTTCTTAGATTCTGTATGAAACAGCAATGATGGCAATGTTTATGTTTGTTTGTTTAAACTCTGGATGCAGAAACATTATTATTTATCTATATGACATGATTTTTTGGAAGCATTCAGGGACAGATGGTGTCAGCAAGGTAACTCACCTGCGTGCCAAGTGAAGCAGTGTGTCTTCAATCTTCCTGCTGTAGGCTCTGTTAAATTCGTCCCCAATCAGTGCCAGCTGATGGCCAACCTGGATAGCTGAGCTGGAAGGCATTGAAATAGCAGTTAAAGGAACACATAGCAAAGTCATTTCTTCAAAATTTACTCTGCAAGTGCTGGGCAGAGTTATTTCCCCAATGGATGGGCTAAGGTAGGGATGTAAATGCTAAATGTTTCAGCTTTTTTATTATTTATCAGTTGATTGATCAGACACCTTAAGTCCGTATTTATACACACAAGTGCTAGGATGTTTTCATCTTGTTTTTCATCTGATACTTTTGAAAAGACATGGTATCTAATTTCTTCATACAACACAACAGAATTGTTTCTAGGATTTTTTTTTTTCAACAAAGTCAAAATATTTCACAAAGCTTTCACTTCAGATGTCTCAAAACACCTCACATTACATAACCAATTCTTTCGTCCAACAGATTCGCTTCAGCGCTCGCCATGGCACAGAGCAGTTCCAAGCTAGCGAGTGATGCTGGAATATGAACCAACTGAAACAGCATCTGTGGGGAGCTTCAGGGCAGGCAGGTCCCTATGCTGCAGCTGCTGTCCAGCATGAAAGGTGAAGAATTTGTGTGCATCCCCAAACTGTTTGCACTCTACTGATGAGAATTTCCAATGAAATAAGTATAGATTCTCCTAAGCGTGCATGCTTTTTGTTTTAAGTAAAATTAGTTATGACTATGTGCTTTTATTTGAACTCGTATTTCTGCTGAGGTCCATTTATGCTGCACAATAAGTGGGCTTACAAGTCTAATTCTAGAGATCCACTTAGATAAACTCAAGGTTGGTTTGGTTGGTTAAACAAAAAAATAAATAAACACAGAAAGGAATCTTCACAGATCTTGCAAAAGACAGCCCCCGATCCCTGAACTGGAAAAATGTGCCAGATTTCAAAAGGAAAAAGAAAGAACAAAAGAGTATTGCACTATCAGTTGGTTGTGAGAGGCGCCTGGAGAATTATGTGAAAGCAGCCTCCTCAGCTGCTTGTTCTAACAGGTGGGCCTCTAATGAAGAGCCGCATCTGCGTCCCTGGGCAGCACAGAGAGTTACAGACATTTAATGCAGCATAATCTTGTGCCGTTGGTGCTGAGCACTACAGGTTATCTCCATTTGCATCAACTTTTCTTAATATCATCCACTGTGATTCCTGGGCTTAGCCAGGAGCCTTGTGAAGGTCAGGGGGCTCGGACGCGGGTGGGGAGGACAGAAGCAGCATTCTTGCGACGTGATACCTGATATTGAGTTCCATTTGCTCTGCAGTGTCTGGCGCTGCCAGGAGGCTGCCATACGTCTGCTCCTCTGGCGCTCCGTCGGGGTATCTGGAGAGAAGGACACGCCTGGGGCTCCGCCGCGCCTGGGACATGGTGCTCTGCAAAGAAGGGCCAGCGTCACTCCCATGCTGTGCTGTCTGGGAACGCGACGTTGGGTTAGGCGGACGTGGTTCGGTGTGCGTGGCCGCCCCTGCTGGGCCTGCAGTGTGCTGAGGTAAGAGCTATTCTGAGAGCCCCAAAGGAAACTTTCAGTGAGCCTACAGATGTACCAACAAAGATTCGAGCAGGCAGCTTCCTCGTAACGGGTCAAAACAGCCCAGAAATTGGAAAATATAGATAAACATAGCTGGCGTAGCTAAGTATAGCTCCCAGTGGTTTCAGGTAGTGCAAGACACAATCCCATGCCTGGCAGTGAGCTGCCTAGCGTTATCCCACTTCAGCCCATCAGAAGGCAATTCATTACCAGCAGCCGGCATCCAGCACACAGACTACGAGCGGCTGCTTGGCTGCTCCTGTTGTAGCAAAATAAGCAACAGAACTCACTGGGTTTCAGCCCAAGTGGGTCATCTCCAGCATTTCCCATCCTCTGATAAGGCCTTCCTGAAAGCACCACAGAGGCTGAGTTCACCAGCAAAGCTCAGGGCAGAGCTGGCGTGTCTGTAGCCTTTGGAAATGTTTTTATTGGGCTTATCGAGCCCGGTGACATCAGAGCTGTGCACTGGGGCTATTTACATCCGCACGCACAGACTGGGGCAGCCAGCTCTTCTCCAGCCTGGGGATGTTTGCTTCTGCACTTTGCTGGTGAGCTCTGCTCCACCTGCTGCCTTCAGGGCGCCCGATGAGTGACTTCAGTGACAGCCCTCTGGATGTGCATTTTTATCTGGTGTGACCCTGGCCTGCTGCTTTATCCTCTCTGCTTCCCAGCTACATCATCACTGAGCTAGCTCCTTTTGCTGATGGAGTAATCCTGGAAAACAATGAATGGGATTTCCCCCCAGGCTGCGCTCCTTTGTCCTTTTAAGCACACTCTGCAGAATAACATCTGTGTAAAATATTCTCAGAGATGGAGCTCAACCAAGCGAAGACTATCTGTCCTAACGCTGCTTGTAGTGGACGTGTTTGCCAGCTCTATGCAATCCTGTAAACTCTGTTGTTCATGTCTTACATTCAGGTCAAGTTTGAGGCCGTTATGCACCAAGAAATCCTTGATCTTCTTTCAGTATTTAGAAGAACTCTACATTTTCCATAAGCAAAGTTACCAAATATTACAGTGTATGTATTATTGTATAAGTAAATGCACTTCTATAACCTAGCAGAAACTTGGTATAACTAAATGAAGGTATATTCGGTTCAGCCTGTATCACTGCAAAAGCAAAGACTTCACTTACTGACATTTAATGTGACTAGAGAAAAAAATCTAAGGATTACCTTGTGTTCAGTAGACATTAACATACTGTATGGACTATAATCATACATTTTTTCCTTTTATTTATACAATGCCACCCTTAGTCATATAGATGTTTATTTACATGTCAGTGTCAGAATCTGAACATACGTTACAGGATAGTTAAAAGGCTTATGATCATCTACAAAAATAACAAAAATGAGTAGTTTCAGATGCTGTATCCTTTCCCTATTTTGTTTTAAATAGTGCTTCCACTACGTGTTGATCTATGTCTCCCACCTCAGTCCAAGCAAAAGTCAAGAAAAGGGTTATAGAGGAACTTTCAGCATTTCCAGCACTGTACCTCATTTCCAGTAACCCAGTTCCCCAGAGAACATGCTAGCTGTGAGCCAAGTGCTGAGGCTCCATACACACCATATAGTGAAGCCATCTCAGTTCAAATCTGTATTCCCCTCCACTAGTATCAGCCCTTCACTTCCCACAGAAGCACCTAGTCCAGCAAGCTGCTGGCTATAGTGGTGCTCAACAGGTGATCCCATTCAACAGCTACATCTCCCTTCATTTCTGGGCAAGGCTGACACAACATGTACACTATGGAGTTGCATTATCCAGGGCAAGTCATGCTCTAGCAGCTCTCTCAGAGCAAGCTTGGGCATGAGCTCTACAAGATCCTGAAAGGCCAAAGAGAACCTGGGAATGGCTGCATAATGTTTGAAGGATGCCAGGAATGCCAAAGTACTCTCTTCGATATCCAAAGTGCCAACTCTGTGGAAGTGGCTAGCCTCAGCAGGTGGCTTAGAGAAACAGCCCAAGCATGCATCGTTGGCCTTGCAGAAGGTAAACCACCCGCCCATACACTCACTGCAAGGCACGGAGCAAACATCTAGCTATATAGTGCTGCTATTCCTGTAGGCTGAAGGCACCAGAGGAAGATTCAAACAAATGGAAAAGTGTCACTCATGTGTCTTTGAAACTTAGAGCCATTAGTAGCCTTTACTAAAACAAACACTATGGATGGAATGTATTTAAAAACTGAAATAAAACCTCAAGTGTCTATTGCGTGTTTACACCAACTATTCTTAGACTTCACAACCATGCACTGTGAAAAATTCTCTAAAAAAAGGTATTTTCTTTCTCTCCTTTTTTTTTTTTTCATTTCTAGAATAGATGCTAGTTTCACATTCACAAGGCCACACAATGGAAATGTCTATATCTGTAGGAGATGAAAACTGAGTTGTGAAAGAGACCTATAATAAGTCGATGCACTACAGAAATCAGACATGTAAACAAACCATACAATACCATGACAAAAGCCCAAGCACAACATATGCCACCTCACACCTGTTGTGATAATACCTTCCTCCCACAGGCTAAAAAAGAAACCGCTGCAGTGGCTGGGTTCTGCTGCCAAGCATTCAGTTGCAGCCTGTGCTGCTGCCTTTGCCCACCGATTCATCTCCACAGTCATGTATGGGATCACTAACTAAGAGGGTGTTCACTGCATGTTGGGCACACATGGAAGCACTTGGGCAGACGCTCTGACAGGACTGCTCTCCTGAAGGTGCGTGAGATATGGCTCCCTTAGTTCCAAAGCAAAGTCTAGTGTTGGTCTTCTTGGCAGCTAAGGACCAAACTGAAACCATTTGCTGATTTTTGTCATCCCTTTAAGATTTAGGTATATGAGTATACATAGACGCACACGTGACAGCTGCATTATCACAGACGTGTTTTGTTTCTCCAGTCTGGATCCACACAGAGGTGGGCAAGAGGAGCAACAGCCCTGTCTGATCTGATAAAGCAGCAGGTATCACTTTTCTACCATCCTTCTCATTCTTTCCTCTTTTCTTTCATTTATACTTAAAGAGTAAGCAAGCTGAGTTTGGTTTAGAGAAACCAGGATGTTTTAAGTGTGTGTGAGTTATAATCCATCATTAAATAGCAAGTGACCTTAATCTAATCCTCACAGCACATCTGAGAGGCACAGCAGGACCCTTACCAGTACCAGAGAACATCTCCAGCCCAGTGAACCGATCAAAGAGCTCATTCTTTCCTGTAAGGCTTTAGCAAAGCAAAAGCTGAGCTCAGTGTCTTCAGCAGAACGAATAATGTACTTTAAGTTAAATACACACTTAATGTTTTTCTGAATAGATATGAGTTTTAAAAGCTCCTTAAACACATAATTATATGACGGTAACTATGACTTTTTCTGAACACAATTATGATGAAATAATGAAGCATCTTTGATACAAAAAAGGATTTTGACTCTATCCTTACTTTGTGTAGTCAGGTTTTTTTTTTTCCATTTGTATCTTTTTTTCTTTTTAACCTAGCAAAAGGGAACAGAAAATGTCCTGCTTGAAAAGCACTGCTAACCCAGGTATAGTGGCAGGTGAGTTGGGGAAAACTAATGGTTTTCTTGCATGCAGTTTGATCAGATTTGCTATGGTAATACTTTTTAAGAAGGTAGGCAAATAACTCCCCAGTATAATGCACTGAGTGCATTAACGGTAATTTCTATATTGTATGTATGCATTTTATTACATAGTCGTAACTACTGTGTTTGTTATGCACACAGTTGTGTATGCCTTATGCAGAAATTACTGGCAAAGCTATTTAGAAGAACACTGAGTATGTTTTTAAAGACGTCTCTGGAAGTAGAAAACTAGTGTTGATGATCTACATAGGAGGAATCACTTTTGGATCAACCTGTTTATTTCCATGTTAACTACAATAGAGGCGGAGAGCACAATCACACCAATTGATAGAGCACATTCGCAGCCACACAACACTACTTTGCAGCACAGGCACCAGCAATAGCTATGCATTTTCACCAGCAATGAACAAGAGCTGCATGTTGCGCTCATAAAAATCTGCACCAGCAGAGGTGACCCACTGTCACTGTTGCCACTGCTTCAACACAACACCCACTGCCTTACTGTGCTCACAGCCACTGTTTGGTCTCCATCAATGTTCACAAAGGGTTGGTGAATGTCAGTGGGTGCCATTTTTTCCACACGCAGGGATTCAGTGATACCCCTTTGCTTTATGCACATTTCCATGTCAGACACCATTTTCTCAGACTGCTGTCACACAGCAACAAAATGCAATGGAATACTGGTGGGAAGGTTCAGCCTCTACTGCCATTCCACCAACAGCCACTTCTAATCTTGTGGGAGGCATAATAAAATAGGGGGCATCACTTTGTAGCAGCCCTTGCAATTTCAGTGCACAGGCACAAAATTCCCAGTCCTTCCTATATACTACCAGACAATACTCTTGCCATTTATCTCTGAGATATCAAAGTGCACCTCAAACTGTTTCAGGCTGTATCAGCTGCCTCTGCAAACTAAATTTAAATGGAAACAAACAAACAAACAAAAAAAAATAGACTTGGTTGTTTGCATATTGTTTGTCTTCAATCTATAACCAATTATTTGAAAACATGACATCACCTGCACTGTTGCAAATACAAATCTCTGTTCTGCTTTACAAGGATGAGTATTTGAAAAGATAACCAAAGATGAAGTTAACCTTAGAGAGAAAGCAGAATACTGGGCATGCAGGGGGAAAACAGTGAGGAGAAATATATGCTTTAGAGCTCACAGTGGGTTTTGGTTTGTTCTCCAAACTCTAAGTTTCCTATGACCTCTGCCAGAAGCCGCAGCTGGGGGAGCTGTTGGCCTCAGCTGTTGACTTCTCCTGCCTTGAGAGTTGGAAGCCATCGGCCACCAACCGCATGTAGACACGACAGCTTCAGCAGGCTTTCCTCCCGAACGCTGCAAGGTAGCCATCAGCACCTTCAGCTTCTCTTTAAAAGAAGGAGAGGAGAGGTTCAGTAATCGTTCTTCATTTTTCTGGGTTAGGTTGCTGGATTAACTCTGAAATCGGTGACAGGCCAAGGACCAAAGATAAATTCATTCTTTGTCTCATACTGCATTCTCAATCAGCTTAACACCAATGACCTTGGATACTGTTTATATATAAACATACCTTAATATTGCCTCAAACAGCCTTTAAAGGTATACTTCTGTAAATCTAAGAAACACAAACTGTACTTTATGTTTTATTTCATTTACATTCTCAAACACAGTATCAAAACGTGCCTTCCCTGGGAATTTAACATGGGCTCTCCTACCTCAAGCATTTGAAGAAAGTGTTTGATTCTACTTAGAAACAAAAAGGTGTATTCCTAAAGCAAGTCTTGTAACCTCAGTAGTTAGAGGAAAACAAACATACAGCAGACTTTAAACCGAAGAAACCTCCTGGAGTAGAAAGCTTGCCCATGTATTTTCTATTTCAGCCTACACTGAGACTGTTGAAGGTACCATGACTGAAATTCTGAGTCAAGACTTCAACGGTATCTGTCTGGAGACTTTCATTGCATTTGGTTCGATCCAATTTTTATGTATCATCAGATTTTGCATTTGCATCAGAATTTGTCCATGAGGGCACTTGGAGAGTACCACTGCCTGATGGGACGTTCATTATACAATCATGGAAAACAAGAAAAGGTTTCTGCCCTAAAAATTAGCTAAGAGCTATATCCACAGTAAAAAGCCATGATTTGATGAAATGTGCAAGGTATCATTTTCCTTGAGGTGTCTACTGATTCTTTCGGTGCTCTCTGATTAGTTTCAATAGCTTCTAAATGCTCAGGGAAATGAGAGGGTCCTGCTTTTATTTGTAAAGAAGTTTTATGGAAAGAACAGAGAACACTGGAGGGAACAATGAAGAGAAACGTGAATTAGTACTAAACTGAAATTAACCATTGCTTCAAATAATATTTTTTTTACTGTCAGACTCAGATTTTTGTTTTGTGGCAGCACCACATATCTCAGGGATGTCATCTTTCTGTCATTTGTTCACAAAGAGTTAAGTTTTTGAGCAGAAGCTTTGTGACTTAACCTAGTATTTACATATCCTCTTCAAAACATCTTCTGCCCTTTGCACTCCTCGATATCACTAAAAGGTCAGGATTCTTTTGTGATAATATAAGATTTTGTTTAGAACTGCTACTTGAATTACATAGTGAAGTTGTAGAAGGTAACTGAAAATGTGTGTAGTTCTAATATATGAATGAGCCATAAAGTTATGGAAAATACTGCTTTGCTCACATTTTAAAAACTTAAAAACTGTCTAGTTCTGTATGTTTGAAGCAAGTGATGCAAAATAAAAGTTGCTACTGGTCGTCAGAAAATTTCATGTCGCTCATGCTTACAAACAATTACACAGTAGAATTTGAATACTTCAAATCTAACATCTCTGCAATTTGTAATATTGTTAATTTAATTACTAATTTAATACATTAAAACTGGCACTCTTGGTGTAGCTGTGGGTGGCTGTGTTCCCTCACCAGCTCCCCTTCACACCACACAGCATGGCATGCAGCATGGCACGCTCTGCATCGGGTGCTGCATCTCATTCCTGTGTCCTGTCCTGTGCAACAAGGACACAGCACTGGGCCTGGGGTCAGAGAGCTCAGCACCTCCTGGCAACTCTGGTGATCTACAGGTGCCTTTTGAGATCCTGCAGTTGGATTGGAAGGATGAGAGGATGTACAAGTGAAGGAACTCAAATTTAAGTCATTATAAAGCCTTTTTGGTTCTGCACAGCAATATAACAATTATAACGACCCGCTGCTCTCGGTGTTACTCGGGTTTCCTGTATTGGTGAAATGCTGGTAGTACTGCAAACATGGCAATAAAGTGATTTTGACTTAAAGTCCTGGTTCACCTGCAGTATTTTGGTGGTGTGTCCACATGTTAGTTACCAAGTTACCACATATAAGCTATGTTCGCACACTGCAAAACAGCTGAAACCATCAGCAAACACGCAGTGTTTTATTAAACAGATCAAACTTGAGTGTGACAGGCAAAAGAAGGCACTCCGTCTGCAAGCCCTCTTGCCCTGAAGCAGCACTGCAATTCTTCAAAAGCAGCGTTCCTCGTACATTTGCTTTCTGTAGGCGTGCAGCCCTCGCTCACATGCGGCACACTGACTTCTGTGCCGCTGCAGCGGCTTTGGGCATGGCTGGGGGCTGACCGCGGGCAGCCGGGGCAGCTGGGTTGCCTGCGGGAGCTGTCTGTGCAACCAAAAGCCCGGGCAGCGGCAGGCCACGAGCCGACGGACCCGCTCTCACAGCGACCTACAGACATACCGCCCTTAGGGAGCCGCCACAGGCACCGACCCGCCGGGTGGGCAGGGAGCTCGCTTACGTTTCTACTTCGAGAGACAGAGCAGGTCCGTACAGCGGTTTGGCATCAGGTGAACAAGCGCTGTTGGGTCTCTTCCTTATACCCGCTGAGCTCCCCCAGTCAACTGACATGCATCAAATGATCAAATAAACACGTACACACACACACATCACAAAACCTTTGTACTTGTATCAGAAAAAGCCCGGGCAGAAGCTCCCCGCGGTGCCCCCGCCCTCCCGGTTCCCGCCAGCGCGGGACGCGCAGAAACTCGCTCCGAGTTCCACGCAGGATCGCTTGCTCCGGGCTGCGCGCTCGGGGCTCATTCCGAGCGCTTATTTCCTGCTTCGAGAGCGCACGCACCGGTCCTCGGCTACTTGGGGACAAGAGCCAGGCGTGCCACCCGCCGCATCACTCGGCGGGGTGCTCCCAGGCTGCCCCTCCGCCCGCCGCCCCGTTCCCGCCGCTCACCTCGGCTCGGCTTCGCTCGGCGCCTCGCGCTGAAAGCGACCTCCGCCGCTGCTGCCGCCCGCCCGCCCCGCGGGCACACACAGGCGTCAGGAGACGGGGACCCGGCCCAGCCCGGCCCCGGCCGCTCGCCGCCCGCAGCCTGCCCCTATTGTCCGCCCGCCGCCCCGCCCCGGCCCGCCCCGTCGCGCGGGTGGCCGCCGCCGGGAGGAGGAGGAGCGGCGGCCGGGCTCGGGTCGGGGACGCCGTGAGGGGGCCCTGCCGGGGTGGGGCTTGAAGGGACGGCGGCAATACGGCGAGGAAACGGAGGGGGTGCTGGATGGCACCTCCAGGTCCCCTTTACCAAAGACCCCTTGGTCATCTGAGCGCAGAGATTTGAGAAAAGTTGTGGTTGAACAGGGAGAGCTTCGCCTGAGCCCCACAGGCCTGTCCTGCTTGGCCAGAGGTGCACCTGCAGCCCACCGTCCCTCGGGAGCGAGGAGCAGGGGGCGGCGAGGGGCGCGAGGGTCGGGAAGCGCAGCACCAGCAGGGCTTAGAGAGGGACGGCTGCTGGAGCCCTGCCGGGCAGCCGGCAGCCGGCCCTAAAGGTTTCGTAAGGTCACGGGACTGCGATGTTTTCCTTTGGCGTTGCTGATAACAGCGCGGTGAATGATTCGGTCGGTATCAGCTATCATTAGAGAGTACATCGGGAGAGCTTTAAAGAACCAGAAAACCCCCATTGCCCCACGCTTTATTGTCATGTCAAACAGGAGACTGTCGGGTATAATGCCTGAGAGCGGACTTTGCCCTCTGTTTATACCATGATTTCATCTCTGTGTTGGGGAAGGTAAACAACGCAGAGCGGAGGCACAGATACCGCTCTGCCTGAAGCGTGGGTGTCCACAGGCTTTGTGGCTACATTTCAAGTGCAGAGAACTCTGTGCGTGTATGTCTATAGGTGCAGATATATTATTTATGCAAACCGCTTCTTCATGCTGCCTGCACTACTGCCCTCGTTGTAAGCTGGATGTTTTTCCATCGCTTTCCAAGCTCTGCACATCTGGGCTACTCGTCTGCGAGTTGCACACAGCAGTGCTTATCTCCCGGCTCATGCTGAGGGCTGTGTGGACACGCACGCATGCAATATTGCAATACACCAGATGAGAATTGCCTTGAAAGTACAATACAATAAAAGGGAAATTAACCTCGGTAATATCACTTCTCGTCGAGACTTTGTCCTGTTCAGCATTTCTGGTATTTTGTTATTTAATTACTTTCATTTTTTTTTATTTTCAGTTTGGTACTCATTTTCAAATCGATAATTGTTCCTCTCCCCAGCCCCCCCCCCCCCCCCGAAACCAGGCTTGATTTTGAATACATAGGTAATGCTGTTTAAGTCATTGAGTTGTCTCATGCTTAAAATAAATTATGCAAATGTCATTGTAGGAGTGAACTGCCACAAAGATAGCATGCTGATGCTGCCACGGCATTTCCTGATACAGTAATAGTAAGCGTTAGTGAGCTGTTCTCAAATTCTCACCAACTTCCCTTGCTGGAAAAAGAATGCTACAAAATGGAGATGCATTAATATTAAAAACTAGAGCATCTATTATTAGCTCTGATGTAATAACACTGATGTAATTTTCAGAGAGACAATTAAACAACACATCTTGGAACTGTATGTTTTTTTTTATGGGTCCGTGGAACCATAACTTTGATTAAGAACTGCTGAGTTAAGCTAAAACACTCTTCCATAAAAACAAAACACAACTGTTTGTGTCCTTAATTAATTATTTAATAGATTTAAAAAGCGATCCTTTTTCAGCCTTCCCCTGAGGTATGATGGATGTGAAAAAAGAAAACATGCTCTGGTAATAAGGCAAAAGGTTCGGTTTCTCTTCAGGTTTTTCACAGCAGTTCGTATCCCTGCAGATACACCTTTTTGGTTAAAGAGTGGCTGTGAAGGCTGCTCCACGCTCCGGTCTGTAGCCAGAGGTGGTGTGGTGTCAGGAAATCCCCACTACACGTGACTGAGGAAGATGCACAGCGTTCTATAGCCATTTCTGTAGTTAAACTAGGGGGTGCTTAAATTTGTTCCTGCTGTGTTACTGCATTTCACTGTTTCTTTGTAGTTGCAGCTTTGTGACTGAGCCTATCATCTTAGGATGATGCAGTCAATCGTAAAGCAGGTTTATTATACTCAGATTGTTTGGGGAATATAGATTACTATCAGTTGTTTGCTGCGTACCAGCACGTTGCAAACTGCTTATTTCAGCTATTGAGTGGTAGGTCTACTTTTTAATAGCAAATTGTCTTGTGGGATGAATAATTTATTTTACCGTTATTTTTCCTTCAGACCTCTGCAGCCTGTTGTGCAATACCTCACTGTTCTGTACTGTCTTATCACATTATATCGGTAAACTTTATGAAAGTCAAGTGTTTTAACATAATCATAATCATAATCATCTTGGAAAGAATTTTTGTACACATTCTCTAAACAAGCACTAATGCTGTAACTTTTTAGGCAATAATTCTCTCTCATATTTTTAACTGTTTAGTTGCTGGTTGTTTCAGGGAAACATTCAGACACTCCTTCACAACAGCATCAACCCGATAAAAAGATAATCCTGTATTATATGACGATCAACATCTGATGTTCAGGCAGAGACTAGACCTTTGGAATCAAAGTGATCTGTTTTTCAGGCATTCTGGAAACTTGAGCGAGAGCGCCTTTAATGTTCAAACGGCCGCAACTCGGACAGGTCCCCCAGCCCCTCCCCTTTCCGCTCGGCTCGGCTCGGCTCGGCTCGGCTCGGCTCGGCTCGGCTCGGCTCGGCTCGGCTCGGCTCGGCTCGGCTCGGCTCGGCTCGGCCCTCCCGATGAGGACACACAAGATGGCCGCCGACCACCAAGGAACCTCGCGTCTCCCTAGCAGCAGAGTTGCGCCTTTGCCGCCAGCGCTCCGGAAGTCCCGCCCCCTGCGCGTCCCGGTTGCTAGGGAGCGGAGCCGGAAAGGGCGGGAAGGGGGTGATGGAGCTGGGCGCGGCCGGCGCAGGTGAGAGCAGAGCTTCTTTCTCCTTGGCGTTATCGCGTTAGGTTGTGGCTTGTGACCCTTGCTGTGGGATGGACGGCAGATGGGTGTCTCCTGATGCTCCCCTTTCAGGCTTGCTCTCTGTCGTGCTGTAGTCGCTAACGCTGTGCTTACAGAGCGAAGCTGTGTGGCTATGAGCTCCTGTGAGATCTGTTGTCATAGAATCACAGAATGAACTGGATTGGAAAGGACCTTAAAGCCTGTCTGGTTCCAGTCCTCCGTGCTGCAGTGGTCTCAGCAGGTTATCAAGAGTACCTTCTTACAGGTTAGAAGATTCCTGTAGAAAATTGAATTGTATTTAAAATGCTGCAGAAAATAAGATTTTTTGTTTGTTTGTTTGTATGGCTTAATATGTTGTTATTTTTTATGAATTCTTGTATGTGGGTTTTAGTAATTAAATAGCATAAAATCATTAAACTTTGATTCATGAATGCTTTGGGTTAAGCAACTGAATCCTTGTGTGTCATTGCTTTTTGTTTTGGTAGTATCTAAAAGGCCCAATGGAAAATCATCAGCTTGTGGAACTCGGTATTGTATAAGTACAGAAAAAAGACCCCGAGTCTGCGTGTGCTCTTTTCTCTCCGTCTATTTATGCTTGATTTTAACTTATGTTTACAAATGTGAAGGAAAATAGGTGCCTGGATCTCTCCAAAATCAAGGCCTAACAAGCAGTAGTGTCTCTGCCTTGTCAGGTTTGTTGACTAAGGTTAGGCATGAAGAAGTGGGAGCACTGTGTAATGGACTGTGGCTCTCAGGAGGAGAGAAACTGTAGAGGTATTGCCTTTGTAGCAACTGTACATCTTGACATCCCGGCCTGGAAGCTTGAAGGCACCTTGAATGCCATTCCACCGTCTTAGCTGCAGAAATGGTATTAATTATGTTATTAGCAAAGATGAGTAAATAATGCATTTTGAAGTTTGACTTTCTGATGAAAAATTCTAAATGGAGGGAGAAGTAGATGGTGTTGTATGTGGGTGAAACTACACTCTCTCCCACTTCCTTGCATGGCAGGTTTTGTACTGGGGAGATGCATGTGCTGAAGAGTGTGCTTTTGGCTTAGACATTTGTCATAGTTAATCAGTTGAGATATTTGCTGCTGCGTTTCATTCAGTTGGTCCGTCACTTTTGAGATAGCAGCTACAGCAGCCTGAATGGGGGACAGCAACTGTTGAGAGTTTTGGAGCGTAAGAATTAATTCATAAATTAAGGGTGTTCTCTGTTGTTCATTGTATCTGTCACACACTGACATTAGTGTAGAGGCATATTTGTCTGGTGCTGTTGTCACGAGTTTCTGCCATATCTCAGGCGTTGTCCTCACTCTTTCAGGGTCACGGTCTTGGCGTGGATGGTTAGGAACAAAGTCAGGGTCATACAACATTTCCACCATGCCTATTTCCCTCAAATACTGGATACCCTTTTCAACTGTATCCCATTTTTTCATCGCAATCTTCAAACTGTTTTTGAAGGGATACTTTTCCTTCATGGCTGTTAACACTCGTTCCCAGAGGGAGGCAGCTTCATCCGAACATCGACTAATTCCTCTATCAATAGCTGGATCTCTGGCAATGGCACCTAGTTGGCGAGCTTCATTACCATCCAGAGACAAGCTATGGGCCCCACTGTCCCAGCAGCGAACCAACCAGGAAACAAGAGTTTCATTCAGGCGCCGTGTAAACTCCTTTCTTGAACCTTGGATTTCAGTCATCTTTAGAGGCCAGCGAGTAGTAATAGAGATTTCCTCTTCATCACTCTCTTCTGCACGTCTTTTAGTTTTCCCTTTTGCCTTTCGTGATGGTAGTGGTGCTGAGGAAGGCCTCTCGCCTGGATCTTCCTCCACCTCCTCCTCCTCCTCTTCTCTTTTTCGTTCAAGATGCGAAGACACTCGTTTCCATTTCTTGCCCTCCACAGGAGCAACTGGTATTGTTACTGGTGTCTCCTGTGATTGATTAGATTTGACTAGGGGATTTTCCCCTTTGGCTTGAACCTCAGCTCGGAAACTCTCTCTCTCCAGAATGGTGTTATATAGGGCACGGTAAGCACAAGCCAAACCCCAAATAAGTTGTACCTCCTTAGATTTATGTAAGCCGCATAGTCCCTGGCTCAAATACTGGCTTAGTTTCTCAGGATCCCACAGATGTTCAAGAGTAAAATCCCATGGCACTGCGGGTCCCCATGCTTCTAAAACCTTTCCTAAACCTCTCCATATTCCCTGCCAATCATCATTCTCTAGTTTTGGAAGAGACTCCTTTCCCTTATTACGAATGAATTGGAATACATTCAGGAGAATTGATGATATGAACAACAACATGACTATTAATTCAGGATTCAAAAAACGTTTGACAAACTGAGAAGAAAAACCGGAGACTGGTCTGAACATCGTGTTGTTTGTAAAATTAGCTATTCCATTTGGGATGTAGCTGTTTGTGAAATTAGCCATTCCTTCTGGGATGTAGATGTCAAAGTTCAAATCCTACCACATTGCAAATAGGTAAAACATAGGTGTCTCCATCAGTGTCCGTAGGTAGTTATATATGAATGCAATTCCACAACACACAAGTGTGAGATGGACTATTGGCCAGTAGGTTGTGACTAACACCATTGCTTTAAATCCTTTACCCAGCACCCCCACAATAACAAGTGGGTTCATCGCTGGTGCTTGCTAAAAAAAGGGTTAATGAATTGAAGCTACTAAGAGGAGGGGAAAAAAAAAGAAAAAAAGGCACTACTCAGACTAAGTAGTGCTCAAAGTTTACAAATATCCCAGAACACTGGCAGTACGCCTAATCTTTCAAGGTCAGGTTTTCCAGCACAGAAACCTGAACTACTGATAATGCTCCCTAACGAAGCTCTCTAAGAGCAGAGAGAAAAGGAGATTCGTTCTAAAAGCTAAAAAGCAGCTCGCCCCACGTTGGGCGCCAAAAATCTGTCACGGAGTTGATCAGATCAATCTATGCCCGTGACAGGGGAGACAGGCCTCTGCCCTCCCCCCCCACCCCAGTCCCACAAAAATGGGAAGGAAGGAAGGGAGGAAAAGAGCAGCGGCAACAATCTATGGAGGAAAACTTATTTTACTATAATATCGGAATACAAAATAACACAATAGATACAATTTAATTGAAATTGAGATTAATAAATCAGACAAGATGAGAGAGAGAGAGAGTTCCCAGGACCGATTCAAACCTGAACAGCTTGGAACGGCCAGGAAAGCACCTCCAGCACCCACTGCCAGGCAGCAAGAGAGCGCCCCCCCCACCTGGAAGGGCCAGATCCCGTGACTGCTGTAATGTACAGGGATAGGTACTTGGGATTGGGGCAGTGACACTTTAATGCCCTGTACACTACATGATGTTTTGATGTGGAATACTGAAACCATAAAAACATAGAACCATGACAACATTTTATTATGAATCAGTACTTTTCTGTAGTGTATTTTGGTGAAGGATAACAATGAAAAGTCAGTAGGCTGCAATTCTATAAGTAATTTGTGGAATGAACTGCAGAAGGACTAAATAGCTATGTTGAAACTGATTCTGTGAGCTGACTTCACCAGTATTGTCATTTGCTCACGTTACTGCTGTCAGAAAAGTTTCAGCTTCTCCCTTGGAGAAGTAGCAGTTGCAGATACTTGGGTTGTTTTTTTGTTGAGCATTTCCATCTTCTAGATTTCACTGTTTTTCTCAAACAAAAAGGGCCACGATGTAACACAGTACATGAGGGTAGACATAAATAACTGAACAAGACGGATGTGGATAAACTAATAAATATCTTTATTGATGATTTTGGACGAGGGGATTGAGTGCATCCTCACTAAGTTTGCAGGTGACACCAAGTTGGAAGGTGAGGTGGCATCTCAAGTGTTGTGTTCAGTTTTGGGCTTCTTACTGCAAGAAAGACATTGAGGCCAAAGAAATACAGTAAAGTCAGTGAAGGGTCTGGAACATATGAGGAGTGGCTGAGGGAACTGCAGTTGTTCAGACTGGAGAAGAGGAAGCTCAGGGGAGACCTTATCTCTTTATATCTCTCTAGACCTCTCTGTAGCAAAGTGGGGTTCAGCCTCTTCTCCCAGGTAACTGTGATAGGATGAGAAGTAATGGACTTAAGTTGCAGCAGGGCATTTTCAGCTTGGCTATTAGGAAAAACTTCTCTGAAAGAGTGGTGAGGTACTGGAACAAGCTGCCGATGGCTGTGGTGGGCACCCCATCGCTGGAGGTGTTCAAGAAATATATAGATATGGTGGCACTGAGGGACATGATTTAGTGGGCGTGGTGGTGATGGGTTGACTGTTAGATGATCTTAGAGGCCTTTTCCAACCTAATTGATTCTATGATTCTGTGACACTGAAATGAGTTCAGAGGAGGGCTGCTGAGGAGGCCCATGCACTTGGCCTGTAATGAGCAGCTATGAGAGCTGTGCTTCTTTGGCCTGGAGAAGAGGCTGCTCTCACCTTTCTTCCTTTACTTACTGTGAGGAGGTTTCTGAGGAGACATAGCCAGACTGTTTGTGATGATGAACGATGGGAAGATGGGAAACAATGGGAATAAGCTAAAATGAGAGGTTCAGGCTGAATGTATGGAAAACTATTTTCCCCATGAGAACTGTTGAGCAGTGAAAAAGGGCAGCTGTGTGGCCTCTGCCTGTGGGCATTTTCCAAACGTGGCTAAATAAAGCTATGACCATATAGCTCACTCTCCTTGGAGCAAGCACTGGGCTAGGAAAGTACTGAGCTCCCTTCTGATCTAACAGTGATGAAGGGCTGCTAAGGACAAGTGAAAGATCTAAAGTAGAAAGCGACACCTAGTGTCAGGAATTGAAATGCAGTTTGTGAAGGCTTCAACCTTAGGTCTGGGAAACTGCTTCAAAACGTTTAATGATACTACCATGTCCTCTCACATCAGTGAGGGAAAGGAGAAATCATAGCTGTGTGAGATACAGTGAGACAACAAAAAAGTTGGTGACATTACTTTGCTTCTTTCCTTACAGAATAGCAAATTGTGATTCTTCATGGAGCGTGCAGTGGATTTTTCTCTGAAGCTGTGGGCCGACACCATAAAGTAGCAGGCATTACTTTCAGAGCAGCGTTCATATTGTGGTTGGTGAGTAAAGTAAAGTAATGTGAACGCTCCCACCCAAAACAAACAGAGAAAACATTTATATATATATATGTTTACCTGCTGGAGAGGAGTTCTGTGGAGGACCTGGGTGTCCTGGTGGACAATAGGTTGGTCATGAGCAGCAGTGTGCCCTTGTGGTCAAAAAGGCCAATGGCGTCCTGGGATACATTAAAAAGAGCACAGCCTGGAGGTCAAGAGGTGATCCTTCCTCTCTACTCTGCTTTTGATGAGGCCACATCTGGAGTATTCTGTCCAGTTCTGAGCTCCTCTATTCAGAAAAGGCATGAAACTTACAGAGTTCAAAGGGGGTCACAAAGATGATGAGGGGCCTGGAGCATCTCCCAAATTAGGAAAGACTGAAAGCCCTGGGAATGTTTAGCCCGGAGAAGACTGAGAGGGGTTCTTATCATTGCTTATAAATCTCTGAAGTATGGGAGTCAAATGGATTAGGTCAGGCTCTTTTCAGTGGTGCCCAGCGACAGGATAAGGGGCAGTGGGCACAAAGTAGAACATCATAAGTTCCATCTGAATGAGGAAAAGCTTCTTTACTATGAAGGTGATAGAGCACTGGAACAGGCTGCCTTGAGAGACTTTCATTCTCTGAAGATATTCAGAACCCACTTGGATGCTTTAGGGAGCCTGCTTTAGCAGGATTTGGACTCGATGATCTCCAGAGGTCTCTTCCAACCCCTTTGATTTTGTTATATCAGTCTTGATTAGAAGTACAAAACTTTCTGTGCTCTATGATTGCGTTTGTTTGTTTTTCAGTAAATATTACCTAGTGAGTTTATGCTACTAATTTCCATCATTGGTTTGTTTAAGGAGAGACTTGAGCTGTGTGCCCATTTGTGAAACTTGAATTGGGTGGGGAAAGATCCTTGTAACTAGATTTCTTTTTTTGAAGCTGCCCAGATGACAAATGCAGGCTCTCAGTCTAAAACTAGGATGTTCTTTTCTGTGGTTTTTAAAATTGGTTTAGTTCTTCCTTCATACTTAAGTGTTCTCCACTTTTCTTCCCCTTTGACTTGTCCAGATTGTTTTTTTTTCACCTCATGTTTTTTACTTCGCAGCTTAACTCTGTTCTTTACTAACAGGTTGATGAGATAATGGCAGGAAAAGTGAAGTGGGTAACTGACATAGAAAAATCAGTTCTAATAAACAACTTTGAAAAAAGAGGCTGGATTCAGGTGGCAGAAAATGAGGACTGGAATTTTTATTGGTAAGTACTGGTGTCTAAATTGTTGAAGTATTTAAATATATTAATAGCTTTAGCAACAGTACAAAATGCATATTTAGAAATAAAAGATGCATGTGTTAGCTTTAATTTGCTGAAGTGCTCCTGCAAGTGTAACATTGTTTCATTGCTTCTGTAATTTAAAGAATAAAAAAAAATAACACTGTTGCTGATCTTTTCCTTGGATTTGTATTAATAAATCCTGGTATCTGTGCAGGCCTGCTATCGTCGTTAGGATTCATGGGGCCAGAAGGTCCTGTCAGCAGGGATCCTTTCCCCCATCCTTTCTAATGACCTCAGATGCCTTTCCAGTTTCCCAAAGATTTTGGCATGCAGTGGAAAATGATTAACTTAGCAAAGAAGACCATCACTTCTGTGGATGCCTACTGTAAAAACTTCAGGCCAAAGGCTGTAGTTGCTGATGTGGTTTTTGTTTTGTTTTGAAATGTGATACCCAATTTTACTCCAATTTCTTGCACGCAGTAAGCAGAATTGTTCCTTTATGATTGAAGGGGTTCTTTGACCTGAACAGAATCTTTGAAACGTATCTTTCCCTCAAATTTTTAGCATACACATGTTTGTGTATGTTGACAACATAAGGAAAATGATCCATGGTTCTGGTATATGATACAGTATTATTTTATCAGTGTTGCAGGGGCTTGTCCTGTTATCAGAATGCAGACTCCTGTAATAAAGGCATCGAGAACTGCATTCCCCTTCTCGTCCTCAGAAAAGATTTACATGCAGACTTATTCAATATTTCAGTACATTCAGTACGAATGTAAAATTAAATCAAGATAATGGATTTGTTCAATACAAGACGAAGAGGGAGTTGGCCCTTTGGGGAAAAACTAGCGGAGCTCATTGGGAAGGCTTTAAACTAGGTCTGAAGGGGAACAGAGGGGGTAGTGAGCCTTCCCACGATGAGATGTGGAATGGCATAGCTAGATTAGAGGGACAGGGTGCTAGTAGGGGCCTTGAAGGACCCACTGCCTTGAGAGGTGCTGGCAACACTACAGCACGTACAAAATCCTGTGATGGCGTAGTGACTGCTGGGGCAGTAGCAGAAGGCAATGGGGAAAATCAAGGGAGATACTTAAAGGATAACTCCTTTATTCCTTTTAAGGAGGTGGCAGGACCAGCTGCCCAGCTGAAGAGCTTCTACACCAAAGAGCACAGCTTGGCTAATAAACAGGGGGAGCTGGAAGCTACTGTGCGACCAGAAAATTATGGTACAGTTGTCGTCACTGAAACCTGATGGGATGATTTTCATGACTGGAGTGTGGCTGTTGACTGCTGCAGGCTGTTCAGAAGGGACAGGAGGGAAGGGGATGTTGCTATCTTTATCAGGAAGGGAATAGAATGTAAAGAACTGCCCCTAAAGAACAGTCATGAGCAAGTCAAAAGGCTGTAGGTGACAGCTAGAGAGCAAGGCAGCAAATGGAGCCTTTTGATCAGTGTCTACTACGGGCTACCTGATCAAGTAGAGCCTGTAGATAAGGCCTTCTACCTCCAGCTCCAGGAGGCATTGTGATCATAAGCACTCATCCTGTAGGGGGAATTCAACTACCCAGAAATCTGCTGAAAAAATAGCCCAGCAAGCTGTAGGCAATCCAGGAGGCTCCTGGAATGCACTGAAGATGATGTGTACCCTTCAACATCCTTCTCTTCAAATTGGAAAGATATGAATTTGATGGGTGGACTGTTTCATGGGTGAAGGATCCGAGTTCCATGGTTGCAGGATCGAGTCCAGAGAGTGGGATCAATGACTTAACGTCTGGATGGAGATCAGTGATGATTGGTGTCCCCCAGGGGTCAGTGCCAGGACAGATAATCTTTAATATCTTCATCAGTGACATTGACATTGATGATGGGGTTGAGTTTGCTGGTGATACCAAGCTGTGGGGTGCAGGTGCACCAGAGCGACAGTCTGCCATCCAAATGGACCTAGACAGGCTTGAGCAGTGGGCCTAGATGAACCTAATGAGGTTCAACAAATCCAAATGCAAGACCTTGCACCTGGGTCAAAGCAACAACCACTAGCAATACAAGCCAGGGAACGACGAGTGTAGCCCTGCTGAAAAAGACCTGGGGCTACTGGTGGATGGGAAGCTGGACATGAGCCAACAATGTGCCCCCACAGCTGAGAAATCCAACTGTATCCTGGGCTGCATCAAAAGAAGCGTGGCCAGCAGGGTGAAGGTGATGACCCTACCCCTTGACTCTGCGCTGGTGAGGCCTCACCTGGAGAACTGCATCCAGATGTGGAATGCTCAGTACAGGAGAGAATGGAACTGTTGGACTGTGTCCAGAGAAGGACCACAAAAATGATCCCAGGGATGGAACACCTCTCCTGTGAGGACAGAATGTGAGAGCTGGGGCTGTCCAGTCTGGAGGAGAGAAGGCTGCAAGCTGGCCTGGTGGCAGCCTTCCTGTATCTAAAGGGGAGTTACAGGATAGAAGGGGACTGAGTCTGTGATGATGGAACAAGGGGAAATGGTTTCAAGCTCAAAGAGGGTAGGTTTAGTTTGGATAAAGGGGAAAAAGTGTTTTAGAGCGGGGGCGGTGAGGCACTGGAACAGGTTGCCCAGTGCTGTGGTGAATGCCCTGTCCCTGCAGACATTCAAAATGAGACTAGATCAGGCTCTGGGTAGTGTGATCTGGCTGTGCATGTCCCTGTTCATTGCAGGAGAGTTGGACTACATGGCCTTTAAAAGCCCCTTCCAACTCCAAGGATTCTCTGATTCTAAAACTGAAATGCCATCACAGAATGCAATAATCTATGGGGGCTGCTCCGAAAGTAATGCCTCCTGTTTTGTTAAGCCAGCCCATGATAATATAGGAGGATGTTAGTGGTGTGGTGGTGGGGGCTGGACCTTTCCACCAGTATTCCTTTACAGTTTGTTGCTATGTGACAGCAGCAGAGGAACAGTCTGACCAAATGGCATCTGACATGGAAGTGCAAGTGAAGCGAAAGGGTGACATTGAATTCCTTTTTGTGGAAAAAATGGCACCCATTGACATTCATTGATGCTTGCTGAATGCTTCTGGAGTGGCTGTTTGAAAGGGAGGGTATAAATGGTTTGATATACTTAGAGGTGCTTTTTCTGCCATTTAATATGTAGGTTGCTCCAAAAGTAATGCCTCTATTTATTTCCATGGAAACTACAACAGGTACAAAGAGTACAAGAACACCATCTGATAGTGTAAATTCTCTGCAACAAATCACTATTTTTTTCAACGTAGTCCTTTTCAAATATGACAGAATGGCAGTTCATACTGCTGACTGTGCTTTTTGTTAACCACTTGTTAAATGAGTAGGAGTGTAGTAATCTGCTTGTTTTTAGAATGCAGCTGAGGGGAGGAGTGGGGGAGCAGGACACTCGTGGAAATTGCTGTGTGACTGATTTGGTTTTGTTTTGCCTTCTTCCTGGAACGATAGCCCTGCAGATTGTGAATTTAAGAATATTTCCTGAATGCCATCATTATGACACCTTTAATATTGAAAACTCTGTGTTTTTGACCTTACTCTTGTATTCTGTGAGAAATGAAGTAAACAGCTGATTTGGTGTGGTTGCTGTAGTATTCTGCTCTGTTATCTACAGGTGTTTTTAGTAAGATCTGTGATTCACTAATTTCCGTTCATATGCTTGACGCCCTCCAGAAGTATAATAGCAAGGTAACCAGTAGTGATGGTTTTGTGGCTTTTTTTTTTTAATGAGAGAAAAACTGAGTTCCAGAGAGAAAAGCAATAAATTAGAAAGATATTTCTGTAGCATTTGGGTGTGTAGGAGTAATTTGTAGACCCTGCTGAGGGCTGACCTGTCTATCAACAATCCAGAGTCTAGTAGAGACAAGTTTTTCTCTTTCTTGCCTCACCAGCTGCCTAATTTTATTAGTATAGGAAATGATAAAGCATCTGGAAAGATTTCATTTGCTAACAGAGATTCAGAATATGTTAGATTGTCACTGAAGCTAAATATTTTGCTATACAGAGCAAGGAAGAAGTGTGAGAGGGAGGAGATGAAGTGACGTGACTGCGTGGTGCATAGATACCTGCTGGGTTAAACCACAACAGTGACATACACAGTTTCAACTCTGATCTCCTTAGAGAAATCATCTGCTGTCTGTCTTTGTTTCCAGGATGAGTGTACAAACAATCAGAAATGTTTTCAGTGTGGAAACTGGTTACCGCCTTTCTGATGACCAAATTGTCAACCATTTCCCCAATCACTACGAACTGACCAGAAAAGATTTGATGGTAAAGAACATCAAACGGTATAGGAAAGAACTTGAGAAGGAAGGAAGTCCTCTTGCAGAAAAGGATGAAAATGGAAAATATATTTATTTGGGTATGTGGTTCTCATTATCTGTGTTAACTTTGCCTTCTGTGTTGTTGATAAACTGACGGCATTGTAACTTAGAGAAACAGAGCAGCACATTAATGAACATATTCTAATGTACGTGTTGCAACATATCTGCAGTGAATTGCTTGCAAGTAGTACAAGCAACTGAGATTACCCATTTTTACCAGTTTGTGTTCAGAGACATAAAACTGATGTATTTTAATTATCACATGCAGGTAATTTAGCTGCAGCGTAGCTTGTCTTCCAGTAGGGAAGGAATTTTGCTAGGTTTTCTGAACTTCTAAAGTGTTACAACACTCAAGTGGCTATCTGTCAGCAGGTGCTCTGTCAATAACAGTCAGTTAAACAGAATGAAGTGTACTCTATCCTAAAACTGTTCTGCGTTCTGCAAATGTTACTGTCTTCTTTAATTGTCTTTTTCTCCTTCTCACTTCCTACAAAGCTGTCATTAAAGCATAAGGAAACAGACAGGAATAGGGAAAATGATTTAAAGACAGTAGTAGCAAACATTTCTTGTGAAAAGCTTGGAAAATATAGCATTTCATAAACCTTGTTTTGAAGCAGAATAGCTAATGTTTTATAGATTTGAGAGAAACAGAGTGTGGGGTTTGTTCAAGAACTGCTGAAAATAGAGACAAAGGAAGGTTAAAAGATTGTTTCTCTCATACTACTACAGCAGTAATGTGGTTCTGCCACTGTCTACTTGCAAGCATTCAGGAATATTCAAAGAGAAGAACACATCCTCTTTGTGTGTGTTAAATTTGTATTTAGATGTGGTTAGGTAAGTAAGTGCTTAATGAAAACTGAACTTATCAGTGCAAAATTAATTGAAGAAACATGGGTGAAGTGATCATGAAATGGTTATGTCAGGATATACAAGAATAGATTTGTAAGTGTGTGTGTATATATATATATAGTTTTTAAGTGGGAATATTATGGGAGTAACATATTTTGCTCTAATATCATTGGTGGTACAGAATGACCCTGGAACGTCATATCAAAAAAAGGCTGGAGTTTCTTTAAATCAAATCTGGGAAGGAAAAAAAAAATCTGGAAATCCTATACTGGAGCAAAAACTTAAATAAAAATAATTTTTGGCAGAAAGGCTTCTGCCAGAATGGGTAAGCTTTTCAGAAGCAAAATTTAGGGGAAGTTGGAGAACTGATAACAACTACTAAGAAATAAAATTTAAAAAGCAAGCAAGCATCAAAACAATAGACTGGGGGAGAGAAGAGCAAAGTTGTCTTGGAGGTCAGCAAACGTTGCAGTGGAATAGAGATGGGGACATGCTGAGTTGATTTACATCCAGGGAAAGTGAAATGAAATCACTGTTCATCCATGTAAGAAAGAAGTAGCGCTATATGGGCAGGACTGAGAATAATCAGATAGCAAAAAGCACGAAATACCTCTCTTTAGATTAGCAAGTGTGGTAACACTGAGTCTGAGAATAAAGAAAAAATGACTCACGAGACTAGCACAGAAATTAAAAATTGCCACATCTGAAGAGGAAACAACATCAACATTTGGGTATTTGTGTGTACAGAGAGGATGACAGGATGGGATGGCTTGCAGAGTGGTAAAAGCTGACATATGAAGATGAGGGAATCTGCTAACAAGAGTTTAGTTGCAATGGTGTATAATACTATAATTGGGCATCATTTAAACAGAAGAAAAATGATTCAAATAAATAAAAGTTCACTAGTCTGAAATTAGCAGCATACTAAAGCCATTCTTTAAGTAAAAATCATAAACTAAATGAAATAAAAAGCAGCATGTGTTTTATTGGAAGTTGATCATGCCAGATTAGAAAAACTTGCTCTATAATAATGAAGATTCCTCTTTAGATGTACTGTCCTTAATGGTGCACTCTTTTTTTCTTTTTCGACTCAGATTTTGTTCCAGTAACTTTTATGCTTCCTGCTGATTATAATCTCTTCGTTGAAGAATTCAGAAAGAATCCTTCCAGCACTTGGATTATGAAACCTTGTGGTAAAGCTCAGGGAAAAGGAATATTTCTAATCAATAAACTGTCTCAAATTAAAAAATGGTCTCGAGATAGCAAAACATCCTCGTAAGTGCTTAAAAACTAAACCCATTCTTGTTCTTCTATAATCAGATGAACCACATCAGCGTGCTGGTAGTCTGATGCATGGGAAAGTTATTGTGCTGTTATAGCTTTGTCATTATATAGATAGTTTTGCATTTAATCTCAGTTATCTGACTTTGTCATTTAAACAGGTCTTAATATGGCTTATGTTGGTGTGAGAAGATATAAAGAACAGTTAGAATAACTATTCTCTATTAAAAAAAAAAAAATGCTTTCAGTGTCTTTGGAATAATGTGCAAAAACAAATTGTTCTGCTCTAACAGGAAGTGAAGACGAAAATCTTTCCCTGAGCAATTTGTATCATGATTTTATTGAATACATATTGATTTACTTCTTAAATTAGTGCAGAGGAGGAATGTGTATGCATGAAATAAATCCATTATCTGTTTGAGCACAAAGGAGTACACCTCATGTTGGTGTCCTGCTTTCAAATGGACTTAATGGTGTAGCAACCTATGCTTTTCTCTGACTAAAAAGTGTTTTGATCTCAAAGCTAATGCTGATTTTTTTCCTGTTACAAGCTGACTGGCTGAATACCCCTTGAGACATTTTTTTCTGTTTATCTTGGAATCTGAAGAATGTCACAATCTGAAAGCTAGCTTTTCACAGTGGTTTGCCTTGGCAAACCAAGCATAAATACAAACATTCTAGGAATATAAGGCCCTGAATAATGAAGGTAATGTAATACATGCTTCTTGCTTGTCTGTAGACAAGCTCTAGATGTTCTCAAGAGAAGAGACTGGTGTGTAGAACTGCTTTCTGAGTGGCTCAGTTAGCTGCCCTGCCCAATTCAAAACTGAGTTTTAATGGTTAATTGATACTGGTCTTTAGGTTTGTATTTTAGACTTGCCGTTTTTTTGTACATAATGCCTGCTGCCAAGTGTGTTATTGTTAACCAGTATAACTTTGTACGGTTATTTTGTCAGTAAGGTGCAGGATTTCTGTTAATTCAGAACTTACAAACTGTTTACTTATGTGTTACAGGTTTGTATCTCAGTCTTCCAAGGAAGCCTATGTGATTTCTCTCTATATCAACAATCCATTACTGATTGGGGGAAAGAAATTTGACCTTCGTCTGTATGTTTTGGTATCTACGTATCGCCCACTGAGATGTTACATGTAAGATTGTGTAGAGATGTGTCTTATTGCAAGAGAACCTTTAACGTAGTCAAAATAATGTTGCCAGTGTTGCATAAAGAAGTTTAATGTGTACGCATATCCTCGGATGATCTTTTCCTTCCTTTTGACTGGGATTTAACATACCTCAATGACTTTTTGCATTTAAGGTATAAACTTGGATTTTGCCGATTTTGCACAGTAAAATATACACCAAGTACGAGTGAACTGGATAACATGTTTGTACATCTTACAAATGTTGCCATTCAGAAACATGGGGTAAGTGTATCAAGTTCTTAGGTGCTATTCTCCAACAAGACTGATTTTCTTAAGCTGTCCCAAATAATTGAATAAGAAGGCTCTATTTGTCATATTCTTCATCATCTTGCAATTAAAATGTCTCAGCTTGACCATAAAAAAAAAAGTTTTAGAAGACTGCAGATAAAATGTATGCAAGATAAGGAAATGCAAGTTCTGTAATTGACTGTGATGCCTTCAGTCTTGACTTGCAGTAGTTGAAAGCAATTTCTTTCCAAGTCTCCTGTCATTTAAATGCTAATGTACTCACTTAGCAATTGGTTCCGTGAGCAGTGGAATTAATGAAGCCCGGTTATGGTGGATCTGCATTTTATAATGGTACTTGAAGATCTCCTCTTCCCTTTTTCTTGGCCATGCGGTTAATTCAGCTTTCCTCTTTTCCAGCACTTATTTATGACAGTGGCTTCCAGCATTTTCATATGTTCCCACCCTCTTTCTCCTCTGTGTAACAAAGGGAGTGTGCATTTGTGGACTTGTGATAAATGTTTGCTTCCTGGCCAGCTAGTGGCTTCCTCTGGAAAGCATAGAGATAGAATTCAGCCTGCGCAATTGTTCCATCCTCTAATTTGCTGTTGATATTCTTAAAATGAATGTGTGGAAACCTGATAGCTTTGACAGCATCCAAATAAGCTGATATTCCCCAGTAGGAGGAAAGGCAAGTGGGTTAGAGGTAACATTAACAGTTGGACATGTAGTATAACTGCCTGAGCCTTGTTTCTTCAGGGAATCCACTTGATGATGATTATTGACCTGTTTGCCTTTAGCAGAGGACTGCGTTTTGTAAAACGTGCCTCTGTTACAGGAATTTAAGCTGTTGTTTCACTTCCTAATCTTGTGGGTTTCATTTTTTTAAGGGCACTGAAAATATGTATGTATACATGAGTGTTTGTGTATATACACACACATGGACACTCACAAAACAAACATGCTTTGTCTGTTATTGCTTTGTAAGATGTGCAGCACAGCAGAGCTGTTTTTTATCTGGATATTCCTGTAATAAGAGTTTCAACTGTGAATGTCACTTATGATGGTAAACATAAACCAGAGTAAGTGTGAAAATATGGGGGTTTTTTTGGTACTGAAAATATTTTCTTGCCTGGGTGCTCATTTGTGAATTTGAGATGTTATGATTTGAAAAGGCAATGAGAATTAGTTGGGGTGAAAGTAATTCCCATACAGTGTAGAGTGTAAGTCATGGTTTTGTTGCCAGCAGCAGAGAAGAGATGAGGCATATGGTGTGCTGCCCCTCCTGTTATCATTCAGCCTTTCGTCTTCCATTTAAAACCTGTCTGCAACTTTGGAGGCAGCTGAGCCGTACAGTTTAGAATAACCTAATTTGAACTGTCAAGTGATTTATCAAAGTTATGATAAGGTCTGGAAAATCTTTTAGGTTCTTGCCCTTCAACTCTACCCTAAACCCTGCGTGAACTCTGGAGTACTGTGCCTGTACCACACAAGCTCGTGGGAAAGCATCGACAAATTGAAAAGCTTATAATTCAGATTCAGGGAGAGAGAAAGGTTAAAGAAAAGAAAGGAGGGTTAACTATGCCCATTGGAATGTTTCTGCTAGAAAATATGATTGTACTTAGTTGTTCACTGTGTGTGTAATGCAAGCAAAGTGAAAGTGATTCTTCTACTTCATTGTTTTCACTTAGTGATATTCCATGTTGCCTGCAGTATTATTCTTTGTTTCGGTATTTGTAACAACACAGCTGTGATTGTGCAGAGCTCTGTCCACTTGCAATCTATTTTGATTTTGAGTACTTATTTTGAAATGCGGGGAGGGTTGAAAAGTTGATCTCTGTCCTCTTTCTGGAATCTGTGATCTTAAGACATTTTGTCCATGGAAAGAGTGCTGAGAGCCACGTTTCAGATCTTTATTTGTCTATCAAATTTACTGTGGGGGGAAGTTGTAGGAAACAAACAAAAAAACCCTGAAAATTGATGAGAGGTTTCTCTGACCTTGTTTTAGAGGATGAAAAGTTTGATTCTTCTGACAACTTATCCTACTGTAGGCATTCCGTGTTTTAGAACTCAGCAGGTGTAGAGTCATTAACTCTTTTGAAGAGAATCTTCAAAAAGGGACAAAATGTTTGTCCTGTGAGCTATTTGAGAGCTGAATGTGTCTTTCCATCAGTAAAAATACCTTCACTTTGCTTTTGTCTTTCCATTTAAAGAGAATATATTGCAGGGCATTGATTGCCTCTGAAAAGACAAATATAAAGTAACCTTCTTTTTTCCACTATTCTGTTTCAGTAGTACTTAATGTGTTTTCTACCTTGAATACTGAATTACCTAAGAAAGCAGTATTTAAAGGTAATTCAGGTGTTATTTCAGTGTCTTCATGATTGCAGCTGTTGTCAGTTGCACCATTAAAAGTATATAATAGCTGTCTGTTTCCTGAAAGGACAAGTCCTTTTAAGTTGAGATTTATTGTTTGATGTGCTGTGTCCTATAATACTTGCAGCTGTAATACAAATGGTCATTTTGTATGGAGGACCTAAATATGTAAAACAGAGTAAAAACAATTTGCTGAGTTCATTTTTAAGGCGATATGTGCATGCAGGTAGAAGTGGGCTCTTTATGTGAATGGAACAAAACCGCTGAGCAACTTCAGAATCTTAAAGACTGACTTACTTCCTTAACTCTCCAGGATGATTACAATCATATCCATGGAGGCAAGTGGACAGTGAGTAACTTGCGCCTGTATCTGGAAAGCACCCGTGGAAAGGAAGTTACAAACAAGTTATTTGATGAGATTCACTGGATAATCGTGCAGTCACTGAAGGCTGTTGCGGTGAGTACTGTGCCTAGAATGCTGTCACATTGCTGCCTAGAATGTGACAACATCATGGCTGCAGGATTTTCATCAGAGTGAAAGTGAGTTTGCCCCCAGAAAAACCTGAAATGTATTTCCTGCTTTTTGAGTGACAACACTGACGCCAATTTCTGCAATTCTGTGATCTGCTGATTTGTCTGAGCTGAGTGAATTGGAATCTTTTGTGGGTGAGCATGCTGAAGAGCTGAGCGAATCTATCTCCTTGAGGGTCCTTTGAGCTAATTAACGTGACTGGGTACTGCCCTTGTGAATACTGCTGAGCTCTACCAAGGCCCATGATGTCACTTCAGCAATAATGTGTCAAAGAAAAAATAGCTGCAGGGGACAATTTATCACACAAAAAGTTGAAGGGTATTAGCTTAGCAGACTTGCATAGCTTATTTTCAGCTCTGCTATATAAGGGTCATGGAGTTACTCGTGAAATGTTATCCTTTTTTTTTTAATTTTTTCTTTATAATAGTTTTCTGCTTGAGTGACTTTCTAGCTTGGGTCATATCCCATGATATGTTAAAGAGCAGGTACTGTGCCATGGGACAGCAGGGGTAGCTGAAGAGCTTTCTGCTGCCAAGAAGGGCCTGTTCTCAAGTGCATGGTCTTGTCATCTTTCTTGGGCTGGTCCTGGCACCACTTTGAGTTGAATCAGCTCATTCTTCCAAATGAAAATTACTGATTTTATTGATGCATTAGTATTCTGCTAGTGTAATAAGCTGAATCACCTCGCTGAAGGATTGGGTGGATGCCAGAACCAGCACAAGAAAGAGGGACAAGGTCGTGAAGCTAGGATCAGTGGGGTGAGGCTCAGCCCAGCCTCTGCTACTATGCAATCACTTTTAAAACCAGATGTAAGAGGAAAAGGAATTTAATCCAAATGTTAGCAGAACCTTAGGAAAAAAGTTTTTGAGAAAATAGAGGACAAAATGTTTTGATCGGCTGCAGTGCTTCTCTGTCTGTCAGAGAATGGCAGATGTAACGAGAGATGCTCATTCCGCCTTTCCCGCTTTCACTCCCTAAGGAACTGAAAAGCTTTCAGTATTAGTCTAGGAGAAACCATGTCACCAACCTGTTACAAAGGTTTCTTTAAAAGATCTGATGAGATTTATATAAAAGTCTTGGCATGCATGCTGTAAATCCTTTGCAGAGGCTGGAAAACTGACTCTCCAGAGAGTGTGCTTCTAAGCACAACTTGATCCTTGGTCTCTGCTGGCTTTCAAGATCACAGATGACTTGAACTAACTGTAGATCTAAAAAGTATCTGGGAATTGTTTGACCTAAAATTTCTGCAGCGAAGGAAATGTCCACGAATAAGTCTTCTATCTCTGAAGCATAAATAATTCATGATTATGTGAAGCTGTGTTATGTACATTTTTAAATGTCCTGATTTCTCTGGGTACATGCAGGCTGTAAATATTCTTACTACTTTTGCAAAATATGAGAACACTTTTATTTTAAAACTGGAAAAACAACGGAGTACTAATGCAATTGGGTACTTGGCATTAATGCAGTCATTAATATTGAAATATTTACCAAGAGCTTGAGGAGAGAGTCCTGAAATTATTTTTAAGCTTACTTGAGAGTAATGTTAGCGTGTGTATGTTAGAGTTATGTTAGCTTACGTTGTAAATGATTTGTAATCACATGACTTCTAGCCTAGAAAGTGTGTAATCAGGTTACTTAGGAAGTTGAAGGTTTTAATGTATACTCTTGATTTTTCTAGCCTGTAATGAACAATGATAAACATTGCTTTGAGTGCTATGGATATGACATTATCATTGATGACAAGCTTAAGCCGTGGCTAATTGAGGTAAAGTCACACAAAATACAGAAATAACTTCCCACTGTTTTTTTTCACAGTATAAAACCAAGTAGATTTACATGTAGTCATTTCTGTTTTGAAGCTTTGTCTTTTGTTCCTCTAGTAAGTGGATTAGGCAAAATATTAGAATGTAAAATAGACCTTGTGATGACCAAGCTAGCATGTGCTTTTTTAAATTTCTATTTCTTTTGTCTTTTTGTTTGTGGCTTTCCCTTTTGTCTTCTAAATCCAGTGCATCCATGTAATTAGACTTCAGAGGCTATCTGAATGTTAGCAGCCCTGTTAGATACTCTATGAGTAGCTGGAAAAATGACTTGATGGGGAGTGACACTTGAAGTAATTGGGATGTTTGGAAGGCTTCTTTTATGAAAAGAATTTAATGTATCACATTTGGATCTGTACGTTCAGTGTAAATTGTATCTAAACATCTTCTCAATCTTTTTGAAGTGAAAGATCAAAGCTGTTTATTGTTGTGGTACTGTTTCCCCATAACAAATATGGAATGCAAGAGATATGTTAAACTAACCCCAGTTTCAGCCTTCACTAAAAAAATAATACGCAATTGAGTTTTTTGAATAGAGACATGGAGCATATGTTTCTTCAGCTCACAATTCAAAAGGGGAAAACTTGAATTAAGAACACGAATAAAAGCTGTTTAACTAGAAGAAACCTACAGATTCCTGTGTGTAACAAACACTGGAGTGAATCAGGCACTGAAATTTATGGTTTTGGTATCCATAGAAGCTTAGAAAACTAAACAAAAATTTCTGGCTTGTCTGTTTGACCCTGGGTAACTTAGTTTAAAGAAAAATCTTCAGGCTGACGCTGCAGACACACTTCAGTTTTAAGTTTAAAAAAAAAAATTAAAAAAAATTCCAATGGGGGATTCCTTTCAACATCTGAGGAAGTGAAAGATGTGCTTTGAGATGCTGATTCTTGATTGCTCAAATAGCACATAAAGTCATACACATGCTGCTTAGAGAACTATTCCACTCATAAAAAATGATTCTTTTTTTTTGTAGGTTAATGCTTCCCCTTCTCTTACTTCCAGTACTGCTAATGATCGCATCTTGAAGTATAACCTCATTAATGACACACTGAACATTGCTGTGCCTAATGGGGAAATTCCAGACTGTAAATGGAATAAATCTCCACCTAAAGAGGTTCTTGGCAATTATGAAGTCTTGTAAGTTTTAGCATTGTTTTGTATAATTGCGAATGTTTTTCAGTCATCTCACTTCTTTTAATGTGTAATGTAGACCAAAGAGATAAGGCAAACTTTATTTTCCCATTTTTTGAGGCTGTATTAGCAGCTTTGGAGGTGGGAGTGTGTCCTTCATTCTCTGAGGGAATCTTACTTGTCTGATAAACCTTTGTGTGTACTGAGCTTCCAGCAGCTTCTGCATGTGTAGAGTCTTAATTGTATTAAGTGCTATATATACACTGTAGTTAAACATAAAACTTGTATCAAATAGTTGTTACCCTTATGTTCACAAAATTGATGCTATTTGAATCTTGTAGATCTTAGATGTAATAATAATAATATAGTACCAGATATTTTTTTTAATTACCAAATTTAGTATTATTAAAGGGAAGAATCAACAGACATTTTTACATTGGAGTGCCTGAAGTATTAGCCTAGGATTGATCTTATGCAGAGGAGCACTGTTGTAATGACTGTATTGATTGCAGTTTCACATACTTACTGAGAATGGCCCAGTTAGGTTCTCAAATCCTAATGGTGCAGCTGTTTAGTATATCAAGAATGTGGTTATGTACATAGTCAGCCCAGTAGTTCATGCCAATCTTACACTCTTTCTAGATATTGGTAAAGACAATTAAATGGGTTGGCTGGATTATAAATTAATTTTTAATGTGTTTACACCTACCATGTAACGTTTTTGTACAAGAGTATAACTAAGCATATATTATGAATGCTCTACAAAATATGATAGTATTATCTTTTGATAATTGTACATAAGCATCTGTAGTCAATGTCTGTAATTTGCACAGCAACTGAGCAGTAAGTGTATACTGAGGTTATCTGAGGCTCTAATGGGCTTAGATATTTAAAGAACTGCTTGCCACTGTGGTTAAGTGTTACAAAATGCACGTCATTAAATGCATTTGGTTAAGCACGCTGTTGTTTGTTCAGCTCATTTTTTTCCTACTCACTCGGTGTTGCAACAGTGGAGTTTTCTAACACTGCAGTTAGCAATCCTCTGCTTGAAGCAATAGCTTAAGATTGGATTGAAGTGCCAGCAGTCTGATGTTCCTACTCTGCTGTGTAAGAGCAATATTGAGAAGGGCAGAAGTGCACATGAAATTTCACAAGCATGAAATTTCACGAACTCTGTAATTGAACCAAAGCTACCAAGCAGTCTGTTTCTTACCAAAACTAGCTGAGGATGTTTCAGTTGGTCTGTATTGTAAACCAAGTGGTAGTATATTACCTCGAATAATAGCTATATTTCAAACTGTGCACTCATAAACGTGTTTGTAGAACAGCTTGTGTTAAATGTCAGTGCTAAACGTTAAACAAAATAGAATGTGGAAGAATAGTGACTAGTAGGCTAAGATGCTGAAAAAATTCTGTCTTCTTCAGATATGATGAAGAGATGGCGCAAAGTGATGGTTCTGATCGTGACTTGCGAAGTCGTTCTGGGCAATCCACTGGAACAAAAGGAAATCGTGGGAGAGATTCAGGAAAGCCTGTACTGACCACCTGGAAATAATGATTAAGCAGAACAGCTGCTGAGTTGGTAGGACAGCATCATGAAAAAATGAGTTCATGAACAGATTTCTCTATTTCGCCATGTTGTGTGAGGGAAGCAATCAAAGAAAACAATACAGCCTTTGAAAATAAGTGAAATGAGCACTCCTAAACCTGGATCTTTATAATACATGCACTGACTTGCCAATTATACACATGCATGTATATGTATTTAAAAAGCATAATATATGTAATTAATTTAATGCAAGAATATTTAAGCTTGTAGTTCTCTGAAAGCAACAAATTCTACATTTTTAGAAGCATCTCTGTTCAGACGTTGGAGAAGCCAGTAATTATTATGAGGTTTCTTTATAAAGATGACGTTTAAGAATACATGTTCTGATATACGGAGCAACGAGTGTTCTGTAATTTATTTTCTCAAGTAGCTTATCTCTACATTCCTGTAATAAAAGAGATACAGATAATGGGAAAGAGTAGCAGTGGTGAGCGTCAGTATTGTCACAATGGTGGTTCAGCTGCTTGCTAGGAAAAAAAAATGTAACAAGAGAAAAAACAGCAGTGTATGGAGTTGAGACTATTGTCAATTAAAGTGGCTACAGATTTATGACCAGTCTTAGGTACTTGAAAAGTAAATCTTTACATGCAGGGCTTTTTGTTTGTTTGTTTGCTTTGTTTTTGTTTTTTTGTTTGCTTGTTTTTTTGTTTGTTTTTTTTGTTTTGCCTTTAGATATTTTGGAGCTGATAATTCTTTAAAAGTAGAAAGTTTCATGTAAACAAGGAATGTTTCAGGTAGTATGTTGATGTATTATTGGGCTAGCCATTAGTTTTTACTGCAAGGTAATTTGTCTTTGGAAAATCAGGCAGAACATCTATAACTGTAATAAATCTCATTGCTTGAGAATGGCTGTAAATTGACTGACTGTAAATCTTTACTTGCACTAGAATTTCTTCATGTAAGTACTTCTGTGTCTTTTTGTGTATTTTGTATGTACTACCACAAAAATATTGTTGCATGCGATAAACTATTTCTAGCTCTGATTTCAAAAGTTGTGATGATTAGATACTGAAACGTATAGAGCAAAAATAGGTATTTTGGTCTTCTAACAGCATAGTATATAAACTAACCAGCTGGGTCCATCAGTGGCTACCTTCACTCACATTTCCACCAGTTGTTGAGCTGTTACTTATAATAATGTCTCGATGTGCAGCTCTGATAATCTTTTTTCATCATTATTCCTCTCTCCTCACTCCCCTTCCCCTTTATTTTTTTTTTCTTTGATTATGAAGTGTTATGGAGAGGAATGCAAAAGGAGGCTTAAAGTTACAAATATTCATGCACCTGTAATAAACTCTAATCTGGATATCACTAATGCAGCAATACTCAATTTCTGTCTGTCACAGCAGGCTAAGTACTTTTCACCTTTCTGTGTGGCAGGGCTGTATAAGTGCGTACATTTTAAACTTAGCCTCTCCCGATGCCCTTAGACATGATCTGGGATTCATCCTTGCAAAAAAGAATGAAATACATGGACTGAGTTGGTCACTCCGAGTGCAATTTTCATCTTCATTAATCTTGGCTGTTTCTTTGAAATAAAGACCAAAATACAGCTGATTGTCTGGTCATTAGACTTAATGAATCTTCTCACTGGCCTTTACAAAAGCATATTCAATTTGGCTCGTGAAGTAAGTTAATATTATTGCATGGCAGTGAAGCTCTTCTAAATCCCAGGTCTCATAGCTGTTAGGTTTGGTGTGTTTTAATTCTTTTTTAGTTCTTGAGCCTGAGTTTTGCTTCAGTACTTGAACCTCAACAGGTAGGCCACTCGTAAGTAGATGTACAGTCAGATATTATGTGTTGTGTTAATGACAGGATACTCAGACAGACATTTCCTGCTTTTGCCCAAATTGGCTGTTACTACAAAGTATGTAACAAGTTGACAACCTTAGGAAATAATAGGCTGTAATATTCTGTAGTATGGTAGTATTTTTACAGGTAATGCAACAGGGGTGCTCGAATAGAAGGAAAACAGCTTTCTCTCACTTCAATTTCCACTGCTTTTAACTCCTTTCTCTAGTAGCCTGTGCAAAGTATGTTACTGTGGTCTTGTTATAACAGTAGTGCTTGCAATTGAGGCTACAATAGAATGATTACTCTTCCCCTTTATCTTTTTCCTGTTTGTGCAGCCTACACTAGTGGGGCTCTATACGGAAGAGGTATATTGAGAAATGCTGATTCTGCTGAAAAAGTCAACTGTACTATAGCTTTTTAAGTGTGCAGAAGCATTACATACTAGGCCAGCTGCAGGACTTGCAGTCTGCCTTTTGGGAAAGCTTAGCATGAAGGTAAGAACAAGTCCAGGTTATTAGCAGCTATTGGTGTAGGCGGCTTTAGAGAACTGTGTACTTAGTTGTGATTTCACAGTGAACCAAAACTGGTTATAATTTCAAAATAATGTTGTTCTTCCAAACTCATGTGTACGTGGTACTCTGTTGGCAGCAGTGTCTTTGCAGCTAGCTGATGAGTTGAATCATGGCCTCGAGAACAGACACTGGCAAGACATACCGAATAGGAACGGCAATACTTAATATTTTACTGATATTGAATATTTTCATTTGATTGATAGGAGGTTTCTAATGGCTTGGAAAGGACCCACTCATTTGAGCTTGCATTTTCATTAATCAGTATAATAATGCATCCCTTCCAGTCCTGACTTCAGAACAATCATTATCATATTAAATCAAAGTCTTACTATTGCTTTCAGAAAATATGGATTTCTATCTCATTTCTATTTCATTCACACATTTCAAGAGCGGTATTTTATACAGACAATATTTTTGTAGCAGAGCTATCAATTTGGAACAGGCAAATGCTTCTCTCTGACCACGTGTAGTAGTGGGAAAGCAAATTTCAAACACTGTATGTGAGGATGAAATGTCTGTTAGATATTTCAAGGATTATCATCACTACCTCGGTATTAAAACAATAATACTACTAATCGTAGCGGGAAAAAAACACTTCTGGTACTTTCACTATGTAGTAATAAAAAACTAGAATTTAGATGTCAAATGTTGATACAGTATTTTACACAGTTGTATCTTTAACCAGTGTTGGTAATTTATATTGCAGACACAAACATGGTTTTGTAATGCAGCGTTCTTTAAAGAGCAAGAAGTCAAAGAGGCTGCAGCCGTAGTGACCCTCTCTTCCTGATCTCACCCCATTCTCTTTTTAAACACAATGCACTAGTGATTAGAAATAGCAGGCTCTTTTCCAACAGGCTTTTTGTAGAGGTTGAAGTTCAAAGGCTTAACTATGTTATCACTTTTAATACATTGAAAAAACTGGGTATGCAAAAGAAGTAGTAGGGAACAAAACTGAAATGACGTTAAATAGATGATTAATAGTGCCTTTCTCATTATCAGTTACAAGCGAGCAAAAAAACAACTGGAAGCAAGCTGCAAGTCTTCCTTTTCTATAAAGAACTTGAAGCCTCCTCCTATAGATAAGTAGAATGTTCTTGTGAAAATAAAAAGTAGGAAGCTGCATTGTTATGTAATATCTATTTTCCTCCAAACTTTTGGTTGAAAAATACGTTGCTTCTTCACTGGAATTTGAGTAAGGAAAGAACTGTGTTCTGTGGTAGCTGAGAGTTTGCTCTGTACATGAAACAACTTGTCTGCAGGCTGCGAGACAGGGGGATGAGAAGGAAACAAAAGCAGTCATAGCTTTCTGGGAGAGAAGGGTAGTATGTGAACGCCGTCCCACGAGATGTTTGTGCGTGGCCTAAAAAGGTAAAGGTGAAACTTTCCTTTTGGTGAGGAGGAGAAACCAGGAAGGAAAATTTTATCTCATGTTCAAGATTTTATCACTGCATTTTTCTCTCCAGTGCTCCTTTAACTAAATCCACTGCTGTAGCAGGGTGGAAATAGTGCTACAAAGTGATGTGTAAACTGATAACAGCCTATGTGTAGCATCTATCAGTTGGAACTGAGGTCATTAGTCAGATGTGTAAGCAGTATGTAGGATGTCTACTATAGGATTTGAAGGGAGTTAAGTAAAGGTGTGATGTTAACGTGTGTGTTACGAGATATTAAATACTGTGTGGATACCTTCATGTGAATATAAGGAGCCTAAATTTCCAAAGGAGAAAAGGCTGTTTTACCTCTATTTGCTAGGGGTTAAATGGGTTTAATGGGTTCTGAGCAACTGACTTTGGCCCTAGGCCAATCATACTCATACATTTGACTTTAGGATAAAGAAATTGTTTTGAGTCTCATTGGGGCAAAATAAATGAGAAATAGAAATCCTCCGAAGTTCTCACTTTGCCTAATGTACTAACTGGCTGGGCAAAGCTACAATAAATGTGCTTCTAAGTCTTGCAGTTCATATGCTTAAGTGATCTGTGGTATAACGGCAGTATTGTATGAAGAATTAAATAGACCAGCTCTAAACAGCAATGGGAGTTGTTATAATGACATCAGTGCAGAAGGAGCTTATTGCTGGAATTGAATACTGGGGCTTGCTTCCCGGGCACTAACCTTTCTCCCTATTAATTCTTTGACATGGATGGCATTAATAAGATTCCCACAGAATAGCTTCTTTATGCAGCTTTAGGAACTTAACTAGAATAGAAGAAACAGTATTATCCCTAAAGCTATTTTGTTGCTGTTGGCTTTACAATAGAGCTTCAGCCTAAAATGCCCCTGTCCGGATTCACTTCCTGCTGTAAATGCAGCAAAACAATAGACGTTTCACAGAAGATATATAGCGCTGCACTTCAGCAGGAGAATGTGTCAGGCAGAGCTCATTTATCTGTCATCAAGGAAGGAGCTTTATTCTGTCAGGATAAACCGATGCTGTGTCCAAAGTACTTACTGTTCAGTTTATGTATGTGGAACTATAACCAGAAGGTAACTTTCGTCTTGTGCCTGCCTTATTAAAACAGCTCACTCAATCCCTCGGTTCAGTGGGAAGCACGCTGTGCCATCTGGTATGTGGGTACCACAATATAACACTACTGTCCATAGCTAGCTATGCTAACCTCTAGGGTTCCTTCACAAATAAATAACTTTATTCCTGGATTTCTTGCAGAAAATAAATGTGTAGAGCTGAGAAAAGCTGATTTTAGTCATAAATTTGGTAAAATTTTTGATTATTAAGAGGAAGTAGGAAGATATATGGCTGTCTTGGAAAGACTGTTTGTTTTTACTGAATAGTAGGAAGTTGCTTGTGCTACACTTTTGGCTGTTGTATTTTTTATTATTATTATATAATATTTTCTAAAAATACTCTTTAAAATGTGCTGTCAGAGCATAGGTGAGCTTCAAGAAACTCACCATACCTGGAGTAGTCCACAGCCAGATCATTTCCAATTGTTTTGATGACACAGTGGTATCCCTATCATTGATGTTGTCCTCTATGCTTTTAATTAACCACAAATTTTGTACCTCCTGAAAAGCACATCACTCACACTTGAGATAATCATTGGCAACTGTTGTGAAATAGAAAAGTTAGGACAGTATGAAGCTGCTTGAAGACATGAATGTGGAAGACAAGGAGATAATAAAGGATGCTTCAAACGAGCATCTCTTCTGTGAGATGAATCGTATTTGATGAAAGTTGTGCAGTTGAGCAGTAAAATTAATTAATTGAGTGGAATTAATTGTAATATTCTGAAATTCCGTGACATTGATAGGCATATATAACCACTAATGGGAGTACATTTGGAATCAAAATATGGTTCAGGGCTTAATTTAGGTCTTTAAACTGTAAACATGTAACACTTGGGATTTTTTTTAACTAGAGATAAAAATGCTGAAGAGAATGCAAAAATGTTACAGCAAGAGCCAAGAAAGAACAATCGAATTTGCTCTGAGGGAATCTCAGAGAAAATGCTAGTGCTTAAAAGGATATGTGAAATTTCTGAGGACAGCGGAGGACACAAAAAGTGTATTTAAAAATAGATTGTGTTAAAAATAAAAATAACCATGGGATACTCATCTAAAAGGAGGCAGGGTTATTTATTTATCTATCTGTCTATTTATTTATTTATGTACTTATTTATTTTCAGAAAACTTCCTGTCCTGCCTCTTGCAGTCCAAACTGCATGCCCACCAGTAGGGCTATGTAAACTGTCAGCCTTTCTTCTAAGATAAAGGGTGGAGACAGTCTTTCTCAGGAAGTTACAAACTGAAAGCATCCAAAGAACAACTTAATTTCAATATTTATGGGGGAGAAAAAAAAAAACCTAATCTGAAAATGCTAAAATCAAGATGAATAATATCATGTTAGAAGTATGATTCATGGTATCATTGTGTAATTTATGGCATCATCATAGTGTCATCGTGCTGGGAGGTTGCATGACTGGTGGTAGATATAATTAGACCGTTAATCTGTTTTAATTCACTTCAAAGAAGTAAATAATGTTTGACTACCCATGAAGACAACATGTAAATTATAAATTGAAAAAATAGTAGTTCATCAACCACTGAGGTATTTTCCTCCAAGCAGTTTTTTAAGTGAATGTATGCAGTGCATGTGGCCTCGAGCCTATATATATGTATGTATACATGCATTAAACTGTACTACCATCAGAAATGGATCAAATGGAGCAGCAACGTGTGTATTGACTGTAGTGCAGACAATTTCTGCTTTCAGATATGGAGGTAATTTACAAGAAGATCAATAGCATTGATCCAAAATGTACACTGTGACAACTTTGATAATATTTTGTTAATTGTTTCAAATGATAGGCTTGAAAAACGGGTAATAATTTTACAGTTAAAAAATGTATTCTTAAAGTTGTCATTGTTGTTATTGTCTTATTTGGTTCCAAAAGTGTCCAAGCCATTTTTTCAACTGAGTGTAAAAAGCATGGGAAATGTTTTGTATCCAGAGGACAGTATTCAGCTGCTTGAAAATGGTATTCCCTAAAGTGGTGCCTCAAGGATCCCTCAAATCTTAAACGTTCAAGCAAATGATCTTTTGGTGAATATTCTTTTTCTAATTAATCTGCTTTTACTTTTTGTCTTTAAAACAATTTTATATAATTTGTAAAGATGCTTAAGTGAAAAGTTGGAAAATACGATTGTTATTTCTCAAGCTGTATTAAAGTCTGAATCCTGCTAGTGAACGCTGTGTGTATTATTCATTTCTGATCATCCTCCGTTCCTTAGGAAGGCAGAATCAGTGCAAACACCATGTGAAGATGAATTCCAAAATAGCTGTTGCCTTTACAGTGTGACTGAGGGCTATATTTGTTATAACTATATATGTGTATGTATGTATATAGATATGTATACAAATATGTACATATATGTGCATATATTTATGTGCATATTTATACATAAGTGAAACGTATGAGGCTGTGGGGTGACCTCATTGCAGCCTTTCAGTACTTAAAGGGAGCCTACAAACAGGAGAAGAGACACTATTTGAAATGGGTAGAAACAGCAGGACAAGGGGAAATGGTTTTAAGTTGAGGGAGGGGAGATTTAGGTTGGATGTCAGGGGAAAATTCTTTACAGAGAGAGTGGTGAGGTGCTGGAACAGGCTGCCCAGAGAGGCTGTGGATGCCCCGTCCCTGGAGGAGTTCAAGGCCAGGTTGGATGGGGCCCTGGGCAGCCTGGTCTAGTATTAAATGGGGAGGTTGGTGGTCCTGCATGTGGCAGGGGGTTGGAGATTCATGATCCTTGAGGTCCTTTCCAACCCTGGCCATTCTGTGATTCTGTGTGATTCTATAAGCAAGACTGAGGAAACTCATACATGTACTCATAACTTGAAGACAAATAATCTGTATTCCTTATTTCTAATTTCTTGCAGTCAGACTCGGGGCCTGAATATACACATCTCTTGTAGAATTTAATTGCCGACCCACACTGGTCTAAAATATGCTGATTGTTCACAGCTGATAGCATGCATGTGATTGGCAGTGGCTTCCTGCACAGCAAAGTGAGCTTAGGGTACAAGTCAGTATCCAATCACTTCTATGTGGAACAGGGTTTTTCTTACTTTCCACCAGTTCCAGACTGAATTTCTGTCCTCTGATGAAGTGGAATGCCTTTTCATCACACCATGAACTTGGTTGTGCCAAAGAAGGAGCTATGACTTACCCTGAATTCCTGTTCTCTTAAATTGTTGGACAAGCTTGAGCATTATTTCACCATACAAATAGATGAATGACTGTTTTGATGTTGAGGCTGAATAAAGTCTAAGTGTTCTGGGAGGGGAGGGCTTCCAGCTTTGACAATGCTTTAGGCAAAACGGAAGCTTGGTTTGTATCTGTGCAGAAAGAGGAGTATTTATGATTGTATCGGTTGTAATTCTCCTGCAAGGAGAGCTGGTTTATGCAAAATTCCCTCTCATGTCTAATGAGAAAGATTGTTCAAAAAAACATGGATGGATCTCTTAGCAGAAATTAGAGAGGAAACAACACTGAATTTCAAGATACCTTCCCACAAACCTGAAATGTTAACTTTCAACATAGGACAGAGAATTAAGGGAGATTTAGGAGGGGAGAAAAACATTATACGTTTGAAAACAGCCTGACCAAAGCTCACAGTATCGCTAGCTGCCACTCAAACCAAGCTATTGAGGACAGGTAAACCTTACCCCAGCGCTGTGCTCACACCGGCTAATCTAAATTCCCTAAATTCCTACAAGTCCTTAAGTTAATGAGTCATCCGCTTAGTGAAAGAATAGATGAAGCCTTGGCGTCCGGGCCGGTGCAGGCAGCCTAGCGTGAGACCCGTGGTCAGGAGGACGATAGCACCGTCAGGGCTGCAGCGCAGCCGTCCTTAGAGCGGGCTGCCCCGGGACGGCGAGGGACCAGAACAGCACCGAGAAGGGCCGACGGGAGGGAAACCCTGACCCTGCCAGGGAACGAAGGGACGGAACAAGGTTACCGTGACGGCGTCCGCCTGGAACCTGAAATAATCCTGTCTAAAACAAATACGCCTAGCAGATAGGCGAGGGCCGAATAACAGATCTCCCCGCGATACCGCTCAGGCGTGCCTCGGACACATCAGCGCTACGGCAGAGGCTGCCCTGCCCTTGGCCAACTCAGGTTGGCGCTCCGCGGTCCCCCCGAGCAGGTCGGGAGCTGGGCAGCAAAGCCGCCGCCTGTGCCACACGGCGGTGCCAGCGGGCACCCCGTTCCTCAGGGAGCCCGCCCTGCGAGCGGGAGGGAAAGCAAAGCCTTCACCGCTCCCGGGCGTTAAAACCTCTCAGCAGCTCTCCGACCGCTGCCGCAACATCCCTGCGACGCGAGGCGCTAACGGCCGCGGGCGTCCACGGGGCTGCGCGCCCCGACGCCCCCCCCCCGCTCCCACCGCCGCCTTTTCCAGCCAGCGACAAGGAAGAGGCATTAACTGGCAGCTGCGGAGAGCCAATGGGCGGTGGCGGGGCGGGAACCTGCGCTCCGACCTCGCCCAATCGGAAGGCGGCTGGGCGTGGGCCAATCGGAGGGCGGGCGGCAGTTGGTGCGGCCGGAGCGGCACTGCCGGAGCGCAGGGCGGTTGCTCGCTCTGCTCTGCACTCCGCGCGCTCTCTTTCGCTGCCGGCGGCTCGCGGCGTTCTGGGGGCTGTAGGTGAGGGCGCCTTTTGTGGCTGCAGCCGAGGGGAGCGGCGCGAGGAGGAGGCTGGGGTTCAGAGCCTCGCGGGGGAGGGGCGGGCGGGGGGTGGTTGGGGCAGCCAGGCGCTCCGTGCTCCGCGGTGGCCGAGGGCGGATGGCGGGCCGGGGCTCGGCGCACCCGGGCGAAAGAGGCGGGGCGGGCAGGGTGACAGTTGGGCTGAGCGGGGCGCGCCGTGATACCGGCGCCGGCCGCGGCGGGGAAGGTGAAGCTCTCCTTGCACGGCGCCTGGCGGGGAAGGGCAGGGCCGGGGCTCGCGGGGAATGACGACAGCGGCTGGGGAGGCTCCGCTCCTGGCGGAGGGAAGGGCTGTCTGCGCGGGGAAGTTCGGTGGCTCGCCGGGCGCGGGGCTGGCGGCTGCGGGACGGGAGCGGGGGGAGGAGAGCCGGGAGGGAGGCTGGCGTTTGTCCCCGTGCCCTGCCGTGCTCCGGGCTGGTGGCGGGTAAGGATAGCGACCCGGTGGGAAGAAGCTTTTCCGCGGGGGAAAGCGAGGTTTTGAACTGCTCGCAGCCTTCCGAGCGTAGTAACGGCCCGTATAGGTCGGGCTTCTCGGGCTTGCCGTCTCCGCCTTCTCTGTTGGCTTTCCCTTTTTCTGTCACGTGGGAAGAGTCGCGTCTTCACCCCGAATGAGACATTCGTGGAGAGACAGAAGCCGCTTTATGGGCTCCGAGCTACCTGGCCGAGCAGCGCCGGCAGCCTCTGTCTGCGTGCTGCGTCCGCCGTGCCCGGCCGGGCTGCCTCGGGCCGGCGTGACTCAGAGGCTCCCGGCCACAGCCCTCTGGGGCTGCTGCTCTGCCCCCGCTGCAGGGGAAGCCGGGAAGGTGCGAGGGACATTTGCTGACCTTTGTGGAAGGAGTAAAAACGAGCTTTAGGATCTGCTGTTGTCTACGTCCTCGCGGCAGTCGGTCTGAAAGTTTGCTGTATGTAATGAGTGTGTTTATGCTTCTTGCTACAAGGGGGAGCTTCTTCGTTTTGCTCATTTGGGCTTAATACCAGATTTTTTTCAGATCTTCTATAAGGGCAAGGCTTTTCCACTGCTTTGAGAGCATAAAACCCTTAGCAGTGTTGTTACAGTAGTCCTAGTGAAGGCTGTGTTATGTAAGCAGCTGGATTTTCATTCTCATTTTACCACAACAAAAAGATCATTCTCTTTATGTCCATGATGGTATAAAAACGTTGCTTTCTGTAGGGGGTGGGAAGACACCTCTTTGCTTTACGGTGAATTGTAGCTAAAACTGTTTGCTAATGCTATTTCAGGCAGGCAGAGCTTCCTAATTGTGTTTTCAGCAATGAAGGTCATTAGCTTGCTGTTTCATACCTGCACTCGTCTGAAATTACGTATTGTCAGACTTGCAATTTGCCTTCAATGATAGTAGTTACGTTCTGCCAATTATGACTGAATCAGCTTTTACAGCAGCATGTATTAACACACAGGGCATGTCTAATTAGCACAGTACAACATCATTTTGGGGATCTCTGCACGTTCTATGCTGTGGCTCAGTTATGGTAAGCAGGAGAGGAGTGCAGGTGCTGCCTTGTTCTCTGTGGTGTTAAGCTTAACATGGCTGCTCCAAATTCCCCTTGTTGCATAGTTTACAGTTCTAGAGTTACTTTCTTTGGCTTGGGGTCTGCATGCTGTGCAGTGCCATGCTAGAATAAACATTAAATCTGCCCCCAGGGGTTAAACTGCATACCACACATCAAGCAACGTCTTCCATAAAAGGAATATACATGGCACAGTTGTACATAGTGATGAAATAGTTTATTAATGATTGACAAACAAAACTGTTTAGTTTTAGTTTAGAAAATAATCTTTCTCTTTTTTTTTTTTTTTTTTTTCCCCTTTAGTAAGAATGTACAGCAAGTGGATGAGGTAGTTAATATTGAGCTGACAGATGGCATTTGTGATTGATGATCTTGATGTTGGCTGTATGCATCTTTGTGGATGATCTGAAGTTTTCTTTAAAAAAAAAAAAAAATCTTACTGGCTTATGAGATAGTTTCCATATTGCACAAGTCAGCTGTGCAGCAAAAGCTTCATTTTATTTTGTCGGGCCTGATGTGGTTAGACATGAGAAGTGTTCTCATGTTGTTGTCCAGCATATGGGTTCCATTTCTTACTCTGGAGCTGACCGAGCTGCTGCCTTAAAGATATCCTTATGTTAATTCTGTGCTTCCCTGGTTGTGATTAAAATGGGTCTAAAGGTTATTATGGCTTAAATTGGTAGCCTGTAAAGTCAGAACGTGAGACTTCTGTGCTTGTTGCAGCAATAGCAGAGGATAAAATGCTCAGCCATGCTGCTAGGCAAGAATTTCCATGCTTCTATGAATCTGTAGGACTGATACAAATTAGCTTCTGTGGCAGTGCATGCCTTTCTCAACATAGGAGCAGTAGGTCCTGAGAATCATAGAATGGCCTGTGTTGAAAAGGACCACAAAGATCATCGAGTTTCAACTCCCCTGCTATGTGCAGGGTTGCCAACCACCAGACCAGGCTGCCCAG